TTGTGGTCGGGACCGACTTGTTCGCCCATTCATAAACTTGCACTGACACAACAATCGACATACCTTAAAATCTTTCAAATAAAAAAAAAAAAAAAACAGACAAAAGACGTGAACATACAGGCTGCCCATCGGTCATAGCTGCCAGAATAACTTCCTAAAAAAAGGGTGATTTTAAGAGTGATGTGCTACGTGTGAACAACGCTCACTCCCAGCGCATGTTTTCACTTTTAGCACTTTCTCAAACTGTATGCATGTGTGTGTGTGTGTGTGTAACAGGAGATGCAAAGCCCTCACCACACACAGTGGGAAATATTTGGGATGGTTTCCCTCGGAATGTCTTGGCGTGCCTATGGAATGCCCCCCTCCCCACCGTCTCCTCCTCGCCGTCGCTCCCCTCTCTCGTCTCCAGAGAGGGGAGAGGAGAGGGAGAGTGGGAAACGGCAGGACACACAAATATGACCCCCTGTTTTGTCACCAGAAAGAGCGGTGCATGCGTGGAGGCGAAGACCCACACGCGGGTTTTAAATTTCGCAAAAAACCTGCAGGTTTGGATTTCACAGCTTGGCGCACATCTAACAAATGCTCTGCCTCATTTGTAGGTGCGAGAGTCTGTAAAATGTATCCTCTGTTTTCTACTGGATGCGCCGATCCAGACTCCGATTAACCCCATTTCACTCATGCACTCACGCACAGCCAGCGAAGTTTAACATTAAACGTGTCTCAACCTCTCACATTCCTCCTGTTTCTCAGCCCGCGGCTCTCTTTGTAGATCAAAGCACAGACAACGAGTCTTTCTATCGCCTTGCTCTCCGCTACCCCTCCTTCACTCTCTCTTCCTCGCTCGTCTCACTTTGTGCACAAACTGGCACTTCGGCTGCTTCGTGTCCGTCTCCCCATCGACGCCGACTTCACCTGCTCTTTCTCACTCGCTGCAGTTGCCTCTCTCATCTTTTTTTTTTTTTTTTAACCTCCCTTTCCATCACCTCTGCTCTCACTTCTCTCTCTCTCTCTCCTTCCCTCCCTCCCTCCCTCTCCTTTTCCTCTCCATTACCCCCCCTTCCTCTCTCCCACCCCTCCCTCTCACAGTGTGGCGGTTCCTGTTGCTCTTGTTTTCACTTCCCCAGTAGTCTGGTGCGTGGGAACCAGTGTTTCGGCTGCGACTGAATGCATCTGCGACCGAGTCTATGCGCTCTTAGCCGCTGTGTGTGTGTGTGTTTGAAGGTGCTGAGGTGTCTGCATGCATGCAATGTTAGCGCATGTTTGTCAGTTTGGGGTTTTGACTGTGTATCACTGTATGTGTGTGTGTGTGTGTGTCTTTGCTCGGTTTCACATCTATCGCTCAGGCAATCTCCGCTATCTCAACATGTCTATAAAAGGCCTGTATGGCACATCTGATGGAACTGCGCGACCCAACGGAAGTTTGTGTGTGTGTGTGTTTGTGTGCATGGGAAGTATAGGCGCAGCAGGAATTAGTGGTTGGGATAGGATATAGCTGAATAAGGAAACCGTAATGGACCAATCACCAACTCCACCCTCCAAGAAAATCCCATGCTGGAATCCGACGCAGATGAAATTCAAGGACTGCTACAGTTAAACGCTGCGTTTCTTCACGGAGAAAAGATATATTCTTCTAAACTCAAAACTATAAAGTGCAGCTTAACATTACAGCGGCTCTAATGTGCTGCAGACTTCTGAAGAAATGAAACAGATTCAGACCATATCAAACACACGCAGCGGAAAATCCTGTGTGGTAAACCTCTGCTATTGTTTTTAAAAAAAATTCAATTACTTTTTTTTTTTTTATATATATCGTGGACCGATGCCACACACCACAGCACTAACAGTCTAAACTAGTTTGAAATATCCAGTCCTACATGGGTCTTTATACAAATACATGACAAAATTTAGTTCTCCTCCAAACAAACATGAGTTTCAATTAACATGATTTTATCTTTTTCGAACTGAACACACAGTTTAGTATTTAGTTCAGTTCACTTGTAACAAGGAACACAACTCTGTGGAGTCAGAATCTGATGAGAAGATGATGATGACTGATGATGACTTGCAGATAAACCCATACACAACAAATTGAAATAATAAAAAAAAAAAGTGATGCAGAATTTCTTCATTGCACAACTATGCAGACGAGCACACATACACAAGAAGCCTTTCTGCGTCTCTCTTGGGGTCTCCATGGTGGACACACATTCCTCTGCCTCTAAAATCTCTGTGTGGCCTATTGATACGCAGAGACAAACATTAACCCTTTCCCTGCACAATCTTTACATGTTCACACATGCAAAATCTTTGCTTAATCTCTTCTGTCTTTTTTTTTTTTTTCCAATCTAAAAAAAACTTCTCTTTCCCTGTGACATTCATCAGTGGTGTATGTGAGTGACAGAGAGACACAGAGAGACAAAGGGAGAGAAACTAACCCATCCATTGCTAATCAGAGAGCTTTACAATCAGATAACAAAGGGGTTAACTTTGCCTGGGTGGGCCATGGAGCAGCCCCCAGGGTTAAACTCTCCGGCTCTCTCTGTAACACACACACTGCAACGCTCGACCTCAGTAAAATATTTAAATATTCACATAACAGTAATGGGTAAAATAACTACATACTGAATTATATGAACCTTCAGTCTTATCAAAATCTAAATTTATTGTATCACGTAACCCTCTGAGTGGGTTTTAAAGGCATGTTGTCTGATTATACAAAAATAACTATAAAGAAATTGCCAAAATGTTATTATTTATGAGATCCTGAAACTATAAAAACAGCCAAAAAATGGATTTTTAACTTTCCAAAGATTCTTGAATTGCTCATTTTTCATATGGTTGGATCAGAAATCTTCATGAAATCTTGATATTTCATGAAAATCACTTTATTTTACGTGTCCCAATTAAAAAATCCCCAAAAATAAACCTGTTGCTCGAAGTAGATTCTGTAAAAAATAAAATAAAATTCTGCACACCTGTTAGTGATCTACAGTCAAATGACAAAATTGCACAGAAAGCAGCATAAAAATGCAAATAAAAACAAAAAATGCCTTGAAACTGCTTTACGTTCACGGCGATAACATTTTGATGCGTTTGCTTTTTTGGATAAAAATATTGAAAACATGTTATTAGAGGAAACTAGCATGGATTAACCAATATCAAGTTGTAGTAGATCTCTTAAGAACATTTGGATAAGAGCGAGAGTTATGCCCTGTTTGAGGATTTACACCATCATAGGACAAATGTTTGCTCAGGTTTGCTGTCCAAACTGCTGCTAAAGATCTGTGCCAGAGCTGTGACCAGTGATGCAGAACCACTTTTTTTTTTTTTTTTTTGGAGGTCACATTTGGCCTTTCTTAAGCCGTCATATATCGAAATAGCTTCCCTTGAAGTGGCATCTGGAGCGACCAATAAATAGGGCGCGTAGGTGGATGACCATTTGGCTGCTGGAGTTTTTTTTTGTGGGTGTGCACGTGTCGTTTGAGGTAGCATCAAGGTGGTCCGGGTTTGTAACATTTTGTGTCGGAAAAAAAAAAGCAGCGGGTGATGTATCTCGACACATTTGGGCCCCCCTACTAAGAGTAGACTAGAACACCCAAGTTTAGAAGCAGTCCTGCAAAGAATCCCCTCCCAGTCACCACCACACACACACACACAAACACAAACACAGCCGTCGTAGTAAACACAGTCTTCCTAAACAGCCACCCACGGAGAGACTCTACAGGTCAGGTACCGTAAATCACACACAGTTATTGATAGCAACCGCTTAACACACTTATTTTCCACCTCAAACATGACCAAATAGGAATCTGTTTGATGAAGGTGCGTGGCTCTTTCATGTGTTTCCATACACAGCTCAGGAGTGTTTCTAAAGAATGAGGAACAGGATACTTAGAGGTTTTCCAGGAAGCACACAGATGAAAACACATCCAGTTTTGTTTTTTCTCCTTGAGGTTTAACTGCCCAGTGATTAAATCAAATCTTCAAACTCCCTCATACTTCACTCTCCTCCACCTCTTCCCTGCATGTTGTCATCCATCCATCTACGCCTGCTTTTCCAACCACCTGTACAGGTCGAGGCTGTGGTGGCCGCAGGCTAAACAATGTAACCTAGACGTCCTCCTTCCCCACCACATCCTCCAGCTCCTGCTGGGGGACCCGAGGCATTCCAAGGCCAGATGGGATATGCAATCCCTTTCGGAGTCTCCTGGGTCTGCCCCAGGGTCTCCCCCCATGTGGACATGCCCAGAATACCTCCACAGGGAGGCAACCAGGAGGGATACTAATTAGATACTCAAACGGTCTAAACTGGCTACTTCCAACATGAAAGTACAACTTGGTTCAACTTGAGCTCCGATACACTGCCAAAGAAACTCATTTGGCCCCCCTCGTATCTCACCCGCCACAACAATCTGGTACAACACCCACATTGCTGTCAGTGCCATAGCAATCTGCGTGCCAATTTCACACTCCATCTTAATCTGACTCATAAACAAGACTCCAAGAAGCAGAGACGAAAAGTCTGTCATTCTCTCCCCCTGGGCAATACTTTAGAAAATCCTGCTCCTGCTCCTCGTGTGGTTTCAGAGCCAACGCTGCACGTAGAGGTGACAAACTTCATGCAGTTCATGTGTAGCTTCACCTCTTGCACCAGCTTCTGTCTCATCAAGGCTCAAACCTTCCCCTGCTGCCCCACTCACAACACTACGAACATGACATTTTCTCACGGTGCAGCGTTCCCACTATCATATATTAATTTCTTCCGCTTTCACTCTATATGGGACAATGTGCTACAGCCACCACAAGCCCTGTAAATAAGGAACTTCAGCAATTTTTCAAAACAAGAAATACTTTGTAGGTGTTTATGTCACTTGTACTTCTTTCTGATGTGGGAACTAAAGCTGAAAGTTGTGTAGAAGCCAAAATACAAAAACACAGAGGTGACATGTACCAGGGTGGACTTCAGTACGCCATATAAAAACACTTCCACACAGAAATACCTGACAGCGGCTGAATATATCGCTGGGTGTGGGCTGGATGTTGAAGTGTTTGAGGACTCGAACTGCCTGGTCTCTGGCCTTTTCTGAGCAGTCTAGGGACAGACAGCGACCCTCGCCGACCTGGGAACGTAACTATACAGGGAGACAGGGACAGCTGATGTATACTAGCAAATCAGGACACACACACAAAAGCAAACATACAAAATGCATGTTTACTTCACAGATTTTAAATTTGCGACTGAGTTCAGTTGTACTTACAGTTTGGAACGGCTGTCCACACGTGAGTATGACGCGGCCTTCAGCTTGTGCTAACTGAAATACACACAAGGGGAAAAAACACATTAAATTAACGGATCGCTGGTGTTGGTGGCTATCTATTGATGGTCATGTAGTACTTTTTAGGGAAGTCACAAGAACCAATTCTTCAGAACGTAGCTGACGCTATGTTGATGCCAAAGTTCTGAATTACATTTAAAAAAATAAAATAAAATAGTGCAACAGGTCTGGTGAGACTTTCTGGGGGGAAAAACACACTTGAGTCAACTATGGAGATGTATAGCGTTTGAGTGGCAGGATCAGGGGAAAGTTATAGACAACCAAAAGTCAGTGAACAAAAAATAGTGTCACACAGCGTTTCTAACAAAAACAGACAAGAAAAGACTCAAACTTATTAAAGCACCTCAAAAACAGGCATTCAGATCTGTGCACAGAATTCATAATAAAAGAGATTCAGCTGTTTTAACTGTATATTCATAAAATGACATCAAAACACTGTAGATTCTGACAACTGGAATCTGCTTCAGCAATACTCCAGACACAGTGTTAACACAGGAGGCTAACATTAGCTTGTGTGAGCTAATGTTAGCCTGTGTTAACATTAGTTTAAGCAGCATGTGTTGGTCCATCAACATATAGCTTTGTATGTTTGAGTAAAAGCACACTGTGTGCAGCATTTTTTGAACAAAAATCTTCAATTGAAATCAATGCATAAGACTGATTTAGTATTTCTGGTATGGAGAATCCTACAACTTGGATTTTTACAGACTACTAATATTTTATTATCAAGACAACTTTTATACTTTGGTTAACTTTGTATGTATGTAAGTCTGTGTGTTTTCTAGATGAACTACTAACTAACCTTGGCTGCTACTCTGTGATCATCGTTATTCTCCAGCATGACCACGTCGACTCCCAAACAGCGCAGGTACCTCCCGAGTCCCTGCAGCATGTTGTCACACACCACCCGCAACTGCTGCGGGGGCAGAGGGGGGGAATCTTCTGAGGGCTTCTCGCCACACAGGAGGCCTTTCTCTGTGTCAGAACGAGGGGGACTGGCCCTTTGAGCCCCCTGACATTCCTAAATGGACAGAGACAATAAAGTGATACTTAACTGATCCCCATAGGGGGATTTTCTTTTCACTTGCACCACAGTTCAGGGAGGTCAAAGCACAGGGTGAGTTATACAACTGCACCCCTGGAGCTGATAGGAACTGCTGAAGTGTCTTGGTCAAATGCGTATTGTCCCTCCCTGCAGGCTGGATGCTCAAACCCTGGTTCTTGAGTCAGAGGTTCTCTGTATTCATTCACTTGTCATACAAACTAAGAATTAACAAATTAAATTAGCACTTTAATGAAGAAAAGGCTGGTTCGAGTTCATGAGTGCAGGTTCTGAAGCTGAATACAAATTTTTAAAAAACCCACCAATGTTTAGAAGACTGAATGCTTTAAAGTCAAATTAAAAATTGGCGAATGAAAGAAAACAAATCTCATCCATACTGTCCCACTTGCTTCTTCTCCTCCTCTAATTATAATACATTTCTGATACAAAGGCCCTCCTGAAGCTACCTGCCTGTTTCCTCAGGTTCCTTGTTTGTTCCTAAGTCCTCACAGGATTTTTTTTTCCGCACAGAAATGTTTATAACAAAGGGAAATAACAATGTGTAGATCAAACAGGAGGAAAACATCACACCTATTCAGGAGTCAAACACCAACATGTCAAGTTCAGGTCAATCAGTAAAAATATGTTCAGTATTAAATAAATTAAAGAAAAAAGTAAAAACAAACAACGATATAAATAAATTAAGTATAGAAATTAACCAACAATGAGTTAAATAAAACCAAAGTGTTTAAATTAAACTCATTATTTTTTATCGTTCATTTGATAACAAGACGTTTTATTGGATAACACTTTTATTTTATTGCTCTGTCTATTTTATGTCAGCATGCTCAGCTTTGTACTTTGTTGCTGGGTAATAAATCAAGCCCCTAAACATGCCGTGCTAATTAGCGGTTAGGCGTATGCCATTTTTAGTCTCGCTAAGCTACATCAATAAAACATGTTACTTTCTGTGTCCGTGTTTTTTTTATAGCAGCCAGTAGATAGCTGATTCTAAATATATCTGACGTTGTTGTTGTTGCTTTAGCTCACAGGTGCTAAGTCGTTAATAGCGACAGCAGTTGTTGACCCTTCCAGTTTAAGATGCGGGAGGCATGTGACCGAGAGAGGAGAAGGCGGAGATAACACCATGTCATGAGGAGTGGCATTTAAAATAAAAGACAAAATATGGATGAAATAAATGTTAAATAAGTGTCTACGGGGGGAAAAACAACTATATTATGACTTAAAGAGGACTTCTGAAGAGGAACTTTTTCATTCCTGTAAAAATTGAGCTTTTAATTGTTTCATTTATAGAATTTCCAAAATGCATGTATGTGATTATTTATTTCACAATTATTTGTTTGGGATTCTAGAATTGCATTTCTGAGGGACCAAAATCCATTTTCCTAGGTGGTATCTGTTCTGTGTTGTCCTTCTAGGAAACTTGCTACAATGATTTATTTATCTTCACATTATTAGACTTCAAATTGGCATCTTTGGAAACCTAACAAAAATAAGTTAACAGTGTCAATACAGCTATGCAGAAATGGCAATTGACCCCCCGACCTCTTTGCTGAGCGCCTGCTTCGTCTGCTTGTCCTGCTTCTCCTTCCGCTTCTGGTCTTTGCTCTTCTCCGATTGGCTCGAAGAGATGCTGCGCAGGTCAGCCGGTAGTCCGAAGCTCGCTGGGTTGCTGGAGAGAGCCGAGTACACATCCAGCAAACAGTAGGCATCTGCCACTGGAAGAAGGTTAAGGAGCGAGAGAAAGAGAGAGGAAGAGGGGGCGAATTTATTGGTTTGCAGTTCGTCAGGGGATAACAAAATAATCTCTGGCTTCTATAGAGCAGAGAACAGCGACCATCTGTCTCTCCGTCATTGTCTGCTTGTGCATGCATAATATCTCACCTGCATATCTAATTTGGCTGATGCGCAGTGGTCGCTTCTCCCAGTTGGACATCTGCTCCGTCTTGTCCAGGGGCCTCCCCAGGACCTGTTGTACCAGCAGGCTCAGGCCTTTTTCTGCACAGTCCTCTCCGACCAGAACCTCTTTAGGGCCATTGTGGGTCCGGTTGGCCTTGCCGCGCAGGATCTATACAAGACAACACAGACATAAACTTTCCACTGCCTGAGTGTTCAATATTTGTTCCAATGAAACAGTTTTTCATAGCTGCAGTTAAAACAGCTTTGCTGATTGTTAAATGTAGAAAATAGGAAACATGCAGGGCTTAGTTTAAAACAGTCCTGCATCTGTTTTATCCAGAAATCTCTTGTGATTTTCTAAAAATACCGATAATATAATGGACAGGATTCCTCACATCCTTCAACACGCAGCCTCTGCAAGAGTTAAGGAGGAAACTTTATCAGTAAAGAGACCCATGCTTCCATCTGGACATTCCAATCCATCTCAGAGATTAGAATTTTAGCTACATCATGCATATCTTGACCATAGTTTGGGACAAGCAGAAGTAAAATATTAAGCATGATTGCTGCTTTCTTGATCTGTAAATAAGAACCTTAATTTTTATAAAACATTAGACCCCAACCTCTGCTCAACCAACTACTGGATTTAAATTAAAAGAAGTGTGAATGAGCAGCTTAATACCTTTTGGTGTATACTAAGAAGATCAAGCAGCCCCTCCATCTTCAGTGGTTCCTCTACTAACTGGTGCCAGGTGGCCACGAGACACTTGATATCCCCAGACATACCATAACCTGTATAGGAATAAAAGGAGAAACGTGAGAGAAGTATAACAGAACATTCTTGGATTAATTTGATAGATTAACATACAATGACAGGAAGAAAACGTTACGATTGTATGTTAAGACGCTTGCTAACCCAGTTTAAGGACATTTCGTTCGGAGAATAAGTCTCTGATGAAACCAAGTGTTTCTGGGTGTTGGCAGAATCCGTTCGCACACAAGTCCAATAAGAACACGTGGTCAGAAACAGCAAGCTGGATGAGGGAAACCTGTTGAGCTGCAATACAGCCAAACGTAGGCTGCCACTCCATGTCAACTCCTACGATTCCGCCTTCCTAGGAGAGGAGATAGACACTGGTTGATAAGTCACCAGCAAACAGATAAGACATGTCAAAATAAAAAAATCATCAAATACTTTCACTTGCACCCTATGTGTCGGCCCATCCACACAAAACCTTTCCTACAAGAACTCAGCGTTCCTTCATTTCTCTACCTTGAGCACGATGCTTCGACATCTCTTTAGAGCTTCCGGTGTGTCGACAAACTGAACCTTGTCTTTGCTGAGCGGCACCTGGTAGAACCTCTGACAGTGGGCCTGAGATGGCACCCACTCCTCAGTTTGTCCTGGATCATTCTGACATATCTGTCTGAGCGGAGGAGAGAAACGTGTACGTTTTGTGAGTTTGCACGTTTACGATTAAAAAAGGGATATAAAGCCGTCAACGTCATTCAGTTGCAAACCTCTAACATTCTAGCCCACGCAACCGGCGTAAACAGAAACAACTGAAGACAAAATCTTTGTTTGTGTGATATTGTTGAGCAGCTGTTGCTAAAGAAGTGTAAATCAGTCAGCGGTATGACACCAGACTGACTTGCAATGTGTGAGAAAGGGGATGTGGAGAACAAAACTCCTAAAATACTTGAGGGATGAAAACTCCGACGACGGCTATTCCTCTTTGTATAAAGAAGTACAGCATGTGCATACCACAAGTTGCATAATAGGACATGTTTATGCATATTTTGGCCAACTCACTGTAGCTCAGGCGGTAGACTCTGCTGCTTTTCCCATACCCCACATGGAAGTCGATTCCTGGGGACGTCATATTTCAGTGACCACTGGGAGGCTTTCTCAAGAGTTGAGTACTTCGCCAACACCTCCACCAAGTGGACCTGCAGCTCCAGGTCTCCTGCCACCACATACTATACGGACACAACACAACTAGACATGACACATCCTGTATATCTTACTGACTACGTCCAATATACTGTTCAGCGTGTCTCTACACATCATCACATGTTTACAGCATAACTTTGAAGCTACCTGCACATGGTCACTCCAGTTCTCTTCTGTCATGGTTTTCTACAAGAAAGAAAAACATACACACAGCGTTTTTTAATTAATCCTGATTATTACTTCTCATCGGTCACATTTTCCACAGTGTGGTGAATTCAAAATAGACTAATCTGAGAATTTTGTAATCAACCTATATGCATGTATTTATTTTCAGGGTCCCCAGCTGGTTTCTTATCATCATTATTGTTCATTAGCACAAGGGCTTTGCTTCACATCCTTGCTCTCTGTGTCTTGCCTGTTTTTAAAAAGAGAGTCAGGCCTACATTCATTAACCTTTTCTGATAGCTTTGACCTAAGGAAACCTCAAATTCCTCCATTTGCTCATGTTTTAAGGGACTAAATCTTTCATGCACACTAAAACCAACAGAGGAGCTAGCTATTACTTTATTTGTTTAGTTACAAATGCAATTATTTGTAATTAAAATCGACAATATGCGCATCTAAAACTGCAATCTGTGCAGCAAAACAGGACAGTTTTTGTTTGTTTAAGCTGCATGAATGTCGTAAATCATGTACCTGTACTACTTTATGCTTGGTGTATAAACACTCATGTAATTCACAGTGAATCAGCTTTACATAAAGTTGCCAGAAAGGTTTGCGAGCTCTTAGGAATTACTTTCTGAATCGATTACTCAGACAAACACAACCTGACTTAACTAACGACACAAGCAGTTGTATTGTTCATGTTATATTGGGCTCACTGGGAACTCACTCAAGTCCCAGACTGGATAAAGTAAAAGTACTCTCTTATTTAGAAGCTTGCGGAGCCTCCTTTAGCAGCAACAAGCTCCAGCAGATGCTTCCTGTAGCTGCTTATGAAATGTGCAAAACAAAGAGACGGAATCTTGGAACCGTAAGAGACTGCTTCAGTTCATCAATATTTCGGGGATGTTTTGATTGAACAGCCCTCTTCCGGTCTTGCCACAGCATCTCAGTTGGGTGCAGGACTCTGACTTGGCCAATCCAAATAGGAATTTTCTACCTTTTTTTGGTTTACTTGTGCACATTTAGTCACTGCCTTGTTGCACTACTCTACTAGGCTTCAGGTCACAGACTGCTGACCTGACATTCTCCTGTAAAATTTCTTGAGACAGTTTTGGATCCATTGTTCCCTCTGCGGTTGCATGACGTCCAGGCTCCGAGGTAGCAGAGCAGCTTCAAACCACGAAAACATCTCTACGATGCCTCACACTTGGGATGAGGTTTTGGTGTTGGTGTCAGCGTTGTGCACTGCTGCCAAAAAAATTCAACTTTTGTCTCATCCGACCACAGAACATTGTGAGAGAAATGTTGTGGAACATCCAAAAGATCTGTTGCACACTGCATAATGTATTTTGGGGGGGAAACAGTTTCCCTTTGCGGTGTCCTTCCATGAACACTATTCTTATTCGGTGCTTTTCTAATATTAGAGATTCCTGGAGCTGTTTTGTGGTAACCCTCTGATTCTTTTCCTCCTCTTTCAGGATTACATGTTGTGCTCTTGGTGTGATCTCTGCAGGATGGACACTCTTAGGAATAGCAGCAGTCAGAACTTGGAGTCAGTTAATCTTATTATAGATTTATCAATACCCAGGTCTTTAGAAATGCTTTAGTAGCCTTTTCTACCTTCATGCACTTCTATGTTGTCCTGTGAACGTTGTTATGATCAAGGCATTGTTCAGATCAATCGATCTGTCCTAAGAGGGGCAGACTTAGCTAGAAACCACGCTCTGTATGCCGTGTTTTTATTGGCCAGGCCTTCACTGCAACCTACGCTTCCAATTTGATCTCCTTAACAGGAAAACCTGACCCGATTACCTTTTGGAGAAGTCATTAGGTCAGAGGTTCGCTTACTTTTTCCCGCCTGCACTGTGAATGATGATTAATTGTACAATGAAAGCTTAAAAAAGGACAATGCTTTGTGTGCCATTAGTTTAGTCAGATTGTGTTTGCCTATAATTATCACTTGGACAAAGATCAGACCACATTTTATGAGTAACGACTGCAGAAGTCTTGATCGCTCCAAAGGGTTCACAAACGTTTTCTTGCAACTAAATGTTTTCATAGCAGCGTATATGAGTCAGCGAGGCCTCTCCCAGCCCTCACATATTTAAACATCGACTAAACAACGTTATATCTTTCTTCTTCCATGTGTCACACACACACACATTTGCGAAAGGTCAAGCCTCTGGCTCCTCTTGCATCCATATCTTGAGGCTAATAGATCATGCACCGCTTTAAAAGTTAAGAGTAAAGTTTTAGAATCCAATTGAAAAGACGTACAACACTCAATCCTGTCATAAAACTTGAGGTCAAAAACAAATACTGACATGTTTCTAGTAGGAGACTCTACGTAATCACCAAATAAGAAAGGACGTCTGTCTCCCATCTCAAATATATTACTTCTATTGTCATCTATAAGCTAAACAAGTCACTGATGTGTAGCTGCTTTGATGATATATTGTATGTAATGACAATGATGTTTAAAATAAATAAGTCATAATGAAATAAAACACCTGCTGTATCGCTTACCTCCACAAACCTCTTGTACATGAGGAAACGCAGAGAGTCTAGTCTCCTCTTGTGCAGAGCATTGGGACATAGTGCTGAGTCAAAAAGACAAGGTTACAACAATCATTTCTGGCAGAGACACACACACCTACAGCATACAGGAACAACCACACATCAGCCCAGTCACCTACCTTGGTCGATCTTGAATTTGTCTGCGAGTCTTAAGACGTGTTTCGTGACCATTTTGGGATGGATCTGGCTTGTGCAGTGTTTGGACAGGGCGACACGAGGGAACTGCCTACGGAACCACACATGCACACACAAACACACAAGTTTAGAAAGTGGCAGGCATCCGTGTGGAGGTTCTCATGCATATATATATCACACAGATGCATCATACTTGCTTATCTCTTCCACTGTGAAGTCACGGTGGCACCAAGAGTCCAGCAGTGTGACCAGCTGTTTCTCTAGATGACTGTGGCCGGTGACAAAGGACTCTGCCAGCGGCAACTTATCCTGCAAAATCAGCGGTACGCACATCTGGAGAAGAAAGTTGGAGGTAAAAATTCAGCAAATTGGATAAAGGACAATTTAAGAAACTCAGATCCAACTCGTCTAAAGCGTGTTTATATGTTCCACTGTTTATAAACACACAGCAAGACTACAAAGACATATTTACAGAAAACATTTAGCCTCACCTCCTCCATATTTAGTTCTTGCTGTAATTGCAGCTTTATACTGAGCACTGCCGCCTGTGAAAGCACAAAGTGTTAGTGTCAAAAAAAAAGAAAAATCTATTACTTTTTTGTGCCAGCACTGATTAAACCTTCTTAATTGTTTTGTCTGAAACATTCCTAATATAAAAATAATGTAAAAATGAACACAAACCACACACCTCCTTGTAGCAGTTGAGGGCCTGTAACCTCACAATGTGCAGCCGGAGTATGGACGGATCCAAGGAACCGAGCTGGTAGATGTTTAATAGACTGTCAACAAAGCTGGGCTGGGTTTCTGTTAGTAAGCTAAGAGCCCGCCGTTGGAGCGCCAGCACTTGCTGTTCTGTGAATGAGCTCAGGTTTACCTGTTAGAGCGACACAAATGACAAAGAACCAAAAAGAAACGATGACCAGCAATACAAACACATGGCAGCTGTTGTCATGAGAAGGTCCCTCTTGTGCTTGTCTACATGAATAAAATACATTTTACGGGAATATATAATAAAATATCTAAACAATGGTACAAGTGGAAAGAAAGCACTTCTTTGAAAAACATCAGGTCACATCAGTACATCATTGGCTACCAATTAATTTTAGAATAGATTTTATTGTTAACTTATAAAGCACACTCTGGACTGGCATCTCAGTACATTTCTGATCTCCTCGCCCCATATGTGCCCGGTCGTAGCCTGCGGTCCTCAGCCAAGGCTCTGCTCACCGTCCCACAGTCGAGGCTGAGGACCAAAGGTGACCGGGCCTTTTCTGTAAGAACCCCCACCCTTTGGAACAGTCTCCCTGAGGAGATCAGATCTGCAAGCACTTTATCCTCCTTTAAAAACACATTTTTACAGATGTGATTTTACAGGAGTTGTCTTATGAGTGTACTTTTTCTCCGTTTGATGGCGGTATCAAGGGCAGTACATTTTATCCTCTGCCTGTTTTATTCCTTCCTTTAATGTCTTTTAACTGTCTTCTTTTACTGGGTTTTATTCTTCTTATATATTTTTATATTGTTTTTCACTTCTTTTAATGTCCTTATTTGTTGTTTTCCTTACACTTGTCTTTGAATCTGTAAAGCACTTTGTAACCCTGTTTTGAAAAGTGCTATATAAATAAAGTTTATTATTATTATTACATCCTTCATGTACAGTTTAAACCTTTATTAGTGTAGGAGTGGAGTGGCGCAAGCATGCCGAAGCACAGGTTTTGAAACGGCAGGCTCATGTACCTGAGGATGCTCCTTCAGCCATGTCTGGAATTCCACGAGGATGTAATAGCCAAGGGTGTGACTGCGACCCTTCTGTCTGCCAGGGCAGCCCTCCAGGATTGTCAGTAGGGTCTCCAGAGGCTCAGGCAGCTTTGAAAACCCATCGAGGGCTACAAAACGTAGCTGTGGGTGGACAGAAGAGGAGGGATTGGTAAAACTATACCGTTAAAGAGGAAAAGGTGACTGCATAAAACATCACTGCGACACATTCTTGGTCCTAACGTGAAGAACGCAAACGCCGGCATTAGAAAACTTCCTACATGATGAAAATAAGATCTGTGTGAGAATGCCTTGTGCCGCGTCTTAATTTGCAAAACAGATGTCATCCACTCAATATCCTCCTCGCACAGATCTCAAGTTCATTCAGAGCAACGCAAATTCCTTCCTTCTGACAGACAGTCTGGTTTCCTCATTAACGCACGCAGTCACACGCTGGTGAGCTTCATTTAAAGATGCCGGGACCTCTCGCTCTCCTGCTCGCTCCTTCCTGTGCGAGCGCTTCATGTGGACACACAAAGGCTCCATCCTGCTACCTTTGTAAACACACACACTCAACATTGCATGTATGGACCTGACACATGCTGTGAAAGTGACTCTTACCGTCTGCAGATCTTTCCGGTTCCACAGTTCGAAGAGTTCTTCTCTCAGCGTGTCCGGGTCAAGACCTTGGAGGGGGGATAACACATGCACAGATGAGGTGGGAATTCACTCTGACCTTTGACGTGTCAAGTAATCAAAGCCACTGGAGTTTTTTAAGATATTTGAGACCGTTTGTGGTGCTGGGTTCTTCTCTAATCAGGTCTTTAGGGTTTTAAAGAGTTCTCACTTTTGAAAATGATACTGGGACGAGATGCAAATCCATTGGGTATAAACCTCAAGGATATAATTCATAAAACAAACATGCTACGGCTATGCAAGTTGGTCACGTTCTTAACTGATTTCAGGATTTGACTGAATCTCCTGCTCAGACAAATGTTTATTGAGACTTCCAAGCAATCCAACTGTCAACGCTGTCTGGCTCTAATAGCCTACCTGGGTGTGTAAATATCAGTTTTCTACAGCTCATAAAACAATTCTGAAATCGCAATGCTGATCTACCCCCACTCCCGAGTACAAGTCATGTAAATAAAAGGTCGAATTTGTTGCCGAGCATCAGTAATGTGATATACTGGAAATATTGTTTGTTAAAACAGGCATAACTGAGCAGCCATAACGTCAAATATTATTTCTTTAACAGGCATTGCAGAGCAGCCATAACATCGGATTAACAGCTGAGGCTGGTTGGACAGTGGAGGAACCCAGCATTAGCTCTGCATTCCAGCTGAATCTGCAGCCAAAATACTCCAGAGAAGACTCTCAGGGCACATTTTAAGAATGCCACGGTGGTTAGAGGAGCTTGGAAACGAGAGGAGATGTCGAGCGTGCATGTGCGTTTCGCATTTTTTTGTCCGCCTGTGCATGTGTTCCACTGAGCCTTCCCAAAAGCTCCAGCTCGGTTCTCTGTCGCTCACGCTGTGTGGCCTCCACCGTACCTGCCCCCCTACCTCCCTCCCTCCCTGCCTCCCTCCTTCCTTCCCAGGGCTAGTTTTCCTGTTCTCCTCTCCCTCCCTGCACCAGCCTCTCTTGATTTTGTCTCGGATTTCCCCAGGAAAAGGCTATGTGCTGGTCATGGTGTAAAAAATACAGCCTTCCTGATGCATAGCCTGGGAAAGCAGACCAAAAGGCCTCTCGTCCCCTCTCTCTCTCTCTGCACTGGCCTCTTTCTTTACTGCATCTTTCCTGGCCTGACACTTTTTCTCTGTTTCATGTTGCTTCCTTAACACGAATTTGACATTTATCTCCCAGCAGCAGCAGCAGCCCTTAACTTGATCTTGACTTTTTTCTTTTTTTTTTGCATTATGCGCCTCTTTAATTCCTGAACTTGTCTCAACAAACCACCTGAATTCCTGTTTAAAATTACACTCATAGGATCGTCACTATTTTTGTCTTAGGTGCACGGTTTCTGAGTTTCCCTTCCATCCAAGCTTTTTCTGGTCTTTTCTTCTCATTTTAAAACAGCACAATAAAGAAAGAAATATCTCCTTAACGCCAAAACAATAAAACAGAATCATTTCCTGTGACTTGGTTTTGTGTTTTTATTTAAGAAAATGCAAGGTACGCTATGCCGTCTATTTGCAGGTTCAAGCCTAATTAGTACAAATCATGCAGAGCTCTACATTAGAGTCAGCTTCCACCGTATACTTTTTTTGTGAATTAATACGAAAATCTATTCCCAAATACTAACAAGTTGAGAAAACTGCTTTTCTACTTGTAAAGGCGTCTTGCAGCCGTCTTTTCAGATTAACCTACTCTTCAGTGTTTCAGCCCTGATGTCACAGCTTTGACAGCGTGCTACTGAATGCAGGCAAAGTATAGCGGTTTTGTATTAAACGGACTAAGACGTGCATAAGAAAACAACACTGCCTCTCAAAGCTCCTTCAGTTTAAAACATTTTGAATGGCTGCAGAGTTTCCTTTGCTGCTCGGTGTGGTTCTCTGCTGTTATACACCCCACTCCAGCCCATTCATCCCACTGTCCGACATGCATACTACGTGCACAGGCACTCACACTAACACAAACACCGCAACCCACTTCAGTTTCAGTGTTTGCATGAGGAGAGGAGAGAGCAGAGGAATGTTGAGCATGTAGCTTCTTTACAGTCTTGGCTAGTGGGTGAATGACAGAGCTAGAGGCTCCCCATTCATTACAACATAATAACCCTATCACCACATACAAACACATGGACACACATAGAGTTCATGCACTCGTTCACCTCTGGGAAGATGACTTGTTTTACTTCTTCTTTTTTTTTTTTTTAAACACAAGCCAATTTGGAAATCTAAAACATTCAACTAAGCAGATAATAATGTAATCTGACACCTTGTCGGTTCCTGACTTGACAAAACAATTTTAGTGAAAAATTAGTCAGAGATTAAATCCTCCGCCAGGTCTGACTGCATGTTGCCAGGCAGCTGCCAAAATAAAGGAAGCACAAAGATCAAGTGTCTAAATGGGCATTTGGTGTCACTACAGCCACCAGAACAGCTCCAGTGTGACTTGGCTGCTGCCGTACAAGTGGCTCGACTCCACTGGAAGGATGCCACAACATTCTTCCACAAGTACTTCTCTCCTTTTGTATTTTGTTGTAGGTGCTAGAAAAGGCTTTCAACAGGTGCTATTACACAATCTTGAAAACGAGGAGAATGCCAGCGCTTGTCGAATGCGATGCTTATTAAAGCACTGTTTACATGTTAACTGCCTCTTCATAATTGAACCACTACAACCTGGTTTGTCCAAACGCGGAGTGACACATACCTAATTGAGTCACAGTCAATCAAGTTTCGTTCATGAGGAGTCACAGCATTTAGACAGCGTTGGTATATATTTATTTAATGACGCAATCTGTAGGATTCCTCTGAAAAACTGATCACAAGCCAAATTAAGTTCAGTGACACTGGTGATTACATTATACACCCAGTGAACCCATTCGTGAAGCAAACTAATGTTGCCAAGAGACGTATATAAACAAAACCTCAAATATGAGATGAGTCCAAGCTGGAACATTCACAGAAGGAACACATTAGGAGAGACTGCTTTCAAGTAATTGTTGTGGCAGGGTGAAAAAAAACTGTGGTTGCAATTTACAATTCGTTCTATCAAAAGAACCGAGATTATTTCCGTAATAAATTTTTGCCTGTTAAATTAGAACTTGAACAATAAGGCCCAAAGGGGTTTTTAGTCGAGATAAGTAGTAGTTTCAGCGCAACAGTCTTACTGTCTAACCGACATTTTTGTTGTGTTGCTTTACTGACGGGTACGTTAACGCTTGTGGCCGTCACTGTTTCTCTAAAACTGTGTTCTCCGGAGGTAACGGTGTTTCAGCTTTTAGTTTAGGTTTAGTCTTTTATTCATTAGTGAAATAGTATCAGAGCGGGAAGTAACAAAGTACAAATACTTTGCTACTGTACTTAAGTAGATTTTGCAGGTATCTGTACTTTACTTGAATATGAATTTTTCTGATGACTTTTTTACTCCCTACATTTGAACACAAACATCTGTACTTTCTACTCTACATTCTCAAAACTGGCTCGTTACTTGTTTCAACCTCTGTGGATGACGACATGACGTAAAAGACGTAACAACAAACATCTTTCTCTTTACCAGCAGTGAGCAATTTGTCCCTGAAGCTCAACACATCCCTGCCTGCAAGAGGCTGTTTAGTACTGCAGGACTGATTTTCAGACCCAGAAGGGCACATCTTCATTCAAAGAACGTTGAGAAGCAGCTTCTGCTGAGGCTCAATAAAAGATGTTGGTAGTCTTGAAGAGACGAGTGTTTCCATGTTGACTATAATGTTTAATGTTCATAATGTTGCTGAAATGGAAAACCGTCCAGTGATGTTTTTCTCTGTAGCAGCACTGTGCAGGTTCTTAAAGGATGAAAACAACTGTGTGCTTAAAACTTTTTTCGTTTTGCAGAGTTATCAAAAGAGGCATCGCGTATCATCGAAGCTAAAAATTAATTTTTACTTTCTACTTTTGTACTTAAGTACATTTCTGAACCTGTACTTTTTTACTTTTACTTGAGTAAAGGAGTTGAATCAGTACTTCTACTTTACCAGAGTCTATTTTTACACAAGTATTTCTACTTCTACTTAAGTAAAGAATGTGAGTACTTTGCCATCTCTGAATGTTATTTATCATACATGACTTGATTAACTGATAAATAACATATGCATACTGTGGCTCTCTCCGTTGCAGGTATATCTGAATGAGGAACATTAATGAAAAAATTACCTTTGTCTGAATGACAAAATGCCTTAACAGACTGATGAAACCAGCTATGTTAAATGTCCCATGTCTAAAAAGGGCTCATGAATCCTAGAAGAGAGGCGTACGTAGTAAAACTCTGGTACAAACCCGCTGCTTCTTGGGTAATATGGTTCATTTCTGTTCTCAGGATGGTGCGCTGCTTTCCCTCTGTAGCTGCAGGAACACAAAACAACAGTATAAATAGAAAGCCTCTACCACAATATCACTGTCACAACATAGAACAGATATTTTGGGGATACACGTATTAGTAGAATCAGTAATACTACATCTAAGTGAAGATATAATACTCTGCTGCATGTTTACACATTTGTGTTCAACTATCTTGGGCAACTGCAGTGACATCTTGAAGGATGTCACTGTACCAAAAAGTGAAAATCAAACCAAAAACATTTTTTAAATAAACTTTATACATACAGCAGTTTAAAACAGCAACAAGGAAAACCTGTGGGAACAGCAGCCTGAGAAAGGGCAAGATGCCAGCTGGCTGTGAGACTTGATTTCAGGCTGAGGATGTTTTTTTAGGCCTGAAGTCTGGTTGTTTCTCCCTGTCTGAATGTCTGCAGGCTCAAGAGGCGGTCTTTGGCATTGACTATTGTCAGGGCAGCGGCGATATTTCAGGGAATGGATGAGCAAGAGAAACAAAAATACTGCAGTCGACTGTTTGGTTTTTTAGCCTTCTAGCTCCATCTCATGGTGGGAAAACGCACACAGCTTCCTCAGTAGTTGATTTCATACTTCCTGTTAGCAAACATTAGCTTTTCTGTCCGAATAAACATCGCTTCTAACACAAATATTGTCCTTAGACTAGCTTTTTTTGTGAAAGGCCCACAAAACAGCGCAAAAAGCGATGCAACTTAGCCACGATGCTAACTCAACTGGCTCATGACTGTAAGCTAGCTCACCAAACTCAGTGCTAGCTTGTCATGTTGTCACTGCAACACACAGTGGCTTTCATTTTAAATAAGTCAACAAACAAAAATAATGACATTACAGCAATGTAACGTCGTGCTATCGATAAGTACGAACTCACCGTATACCACTTTTTTCCTTTTGGCTATCGTCAGGTAAAGCTACTTCGCTTGTTACCACTTTATGCTTGTTACTTCATGGGAACGTCACTTTGTTTGGTCCAGTGCGTGGAGCATTATGTACCCTGCAGCGGGTATCGCAGGCAGCACTTGCTCTCACACGGTACACAAATCCGACTGGATCGCAAGAATTTACAGATTATAACACCTAAATGTTGCCATAGCTCTAATAAGAGACGTGAAAATCGACAATTTCAGACACTTTATGGAGGAATTTTAGCAAAATTGATACATACCCTGTAGGTATGGCTGCCTGTAAGTTGTACATGAGGGCAAAATTTACCCAAAAGCACTCTTACTCGATCAGGTGTTTTTCAGAGGAGGCTGCCATGGAAGTTCAAAGCGCACTACTGCCACCCTCTGGTCAAAAAGCAAACAACAGGTAAATATGTATACAGTAGACATGCGCTGTGCAAAAAAGTGATCTTACCTGCTCTGTGTCCTAAACTATAACCAATCCAGCTGTTTTACTGGTTGAAGTAGCTTTAAAGGACCAATTCAACACATGTTTTCCCACCTGCCAATAAAGTACTTAGTGAATAAAATATTAGTAATGCATCTAAATAGCTTGATTTAATTCGTGAGGGTTATAGTTTAAGGATTATAATTCACAGGGCAACTGCAAGAGAGGAGTATTTATTTATTATACATGTTTTACATATGTTAATTACAATCTAGACAAACCAAACACATACAGCCTAAACATCACAAGCAATACTATGATATCGTCCCTACTTTAGCTGTAGGCAGACTGCTCTGTGAGCTCCAACCTCACTGGAAAATGACTCGCTCTCCTCACAAATCTCAAGTAAAATTAGAGACAGTACACATTTGAGTTACAGACATGCAAAAGTTCACTTCCAACATCTTAGGGGCAGAAATTTGTACCACTTAAAATTACAAATGAAATTTGAATTGCTCAACTGGACTAACTGAAATACAAACTTGAATTTGAATCTCATATTTTGAATTTCTCAATTTGAATAACTGTGACAAATATTTGAATTTGAATCATATAATTTCAATTTGTATTTATTTAATTCAATCAAATACACATTTTTGTTTCAAGTCTTCCACCTGAGCAATGCAAATTCAAATATAAATAATTCAAATTCAGTTTCCGATGGCACAAATTTCTGCACATAACATCTTCAGATAATATATTCACAGTAAGTATGAAGCAACTCTCAAGCCTTTGGATGCTGTTTATCACTCTGCACTAAGATTTATTACTGGTGATAATCATAATACTATGAGCTGTATGCTAGACACTGGGTTTTATTTATCTATTTATAGGGCTCCTCCTGTTGTTGTTTTGTTGTTTTTCCAGTAACATTTCTTCATTACACTCTCAAGGTGCTGTCTGTTTTTACTGAGCTTGGAAAATCCAGTTTTATTCCTTTATATTAAAATAAGTTGCAAAATAATCTGGATTCATTTCTAATCTTTGGGCAATTTAGGTTTTTAATTTCATCCTGTTGAAACTTCTAAGTGGATTTATTTGCTTTTTAAACCCTAAATGGTTTATTTTACTAACTTTGCCTTTTAAAATGTTATTGTTTTCCAAGTTGATTTGTGTATTCTCTTACTTGGCTACGATGTACTTCCTGTTTAAATAAAGATTGAATGAATAAATTGAAATTTTTCTTTTTTTTATTTGACAAACACGTCTTTTATTTATTTTCCCTTGTTTGTATATATATTTTTTAAGGTTTTATAAATAGTTTCTATCATATAACCTGTTGGATTGGTCCCTACAGGAATTGACTTGAACCAAACAGAATCCAGTAGAAATAACTGGCACTGCGTCACGTGGTCCCGGTTGTGTACCACGTGTCCTGCGCGTCACCTCTTAAAAAGACGCAGCCGGGACACTTTGGAGCAGCTTGTTGTTATTGTAGCTCACTTTGTCACTAGCCGAAGCAGCAGCGCTCCTCTGCTGTTGCAACTATCCCCCGTTCTGCTCTGCCGACTCCTCACACTGACATTTATCTCCTGCGTAACTCCAGCAGGCCGCTAAACACGGACAGCAACTCTCCAAACACAGCTAGCATCAGCTAGCGGGTCCCGTAGCGCAGCGCAGCTAGCCTGCTAGTTGCTTAGCCGTTATGGAGTGGCTGGGTAACGGAGCTTCACCTCGCCCCGACGAAGAGCCCAGCAGGGACCCGGCTTCAGCGACCACCAGGGGCTTCTGCGGTGTCTATCCTCATCAGCAGGTAATTAGTTCACGGCTAGCGGCCGACTTGTTAGCGGACGACGTTTAATTTACTTGGCATCACAGAGGCAACTCAACGTTATTAAAAGCTAACTAGCTAAGCCTGTTTGGGGATGAAGTGAGAGTTACATAGCAGTGGCACTTCGTAAAGTGTGAGCTGGTGGCTGTTTTTAGACAGTTTTAATTCGCTGTTTCCACCCTCCACAATCACAATAGTGCCACTGCCCCGTCAGTTAGCCAGGAATGGGTTCCCCTCACCCTGCATGCCAGAGTCGATGCTAACCTGATGCGAACCCAGCGACATTCCGCTTATATGTGTGCCAGCCTGTGAGGTAACCAGATCACCTGCAGTGTCACCACCGTGCCAGGACATTGCTGGAATCAGAGGGAGACTTTCCATATGTGGGGATGGTTGGTGAGATCAGAAGCCACAACAGGCAGCAGCTCACGTCCCTCCCACCAAGATCCTCGATGTTCCCAGACACTGACAGCTGATGGCTGGAAAAGGCATTTGTCTCTTTGGGGACTCATGTAAGCGTGGATGAAATGGAAAGAGGCATTTACTTATTTTTAGCCCTCCAGCCTCACCCTGTATCAAATACGGCATGTTTGTGGTCATGAAAGCTTGAATGCAAAGGGCCTACATTTAGTGTGTGATTCAGAGTGATGCAGCAGTTTGTAGATGTCAGCTGTTCACTCCTAGGAGAGAGTCAGTCTGCTGATTTAAAAACACACATGCAGACTACGTAGAAAACGTGTGTGGAAAAAGGATTAGCATTAAAATTATAGTCAGGTTCCCCAGTGGTGGAAGCCCTCTGTGGGGAATGCTGCTGTGACTCATTTCATCAGAGTTGCATAAATGAATCCTCCTCAGTGCCCTCCCCTCTTTTCTGCTTCTACATATCATGACCTGATGATCTCACCAACAGTATTCCTCCCCACACTGATCTCCTTTTCTTCCCGTTCACCTCACACCAGCAGCTGCCGTCGTCGCACGTTTGCGATTGTGCCATGGCGTCGCTGTGCCAGAGCCAGCAGCGCTGTGTGAAGGCCTCCATCGTCTCCAGTTGGCGGCTGGCTGAGGCGCAGGATCAGCTGTGTTCGTTAGGAGTCTACAGCTCCGAGTCGCTGGAGCAGGAACGCGCTCGGACTCTGGCCTGCCCCACAGAACTCACACACACTGAGGAGGAGTGGCGCCGGAAAGAGAGCATGCTGGGCGGTCAGGAACCCAGCCGCAGTCCCGTGCTGGGAGCTGTCGGGAGCTGGGATGTTTTTGATAAGGTCAGTCTGCAAACACGTGAACCTGAAGTGGACAGTTGAAGTCAAATAGATTTTATGTCGTAAGTGATGCAGGCACATTATGTTCTCTTGTTGTTATTTGTCTGGCTTCATTAATGGTTTCTCTTTGTTCCAGAGTATCATCAATGTCCAGAATCAGCCGATAGATATGGATCAGGACAAGTGCAAAACATTTCTCCAGAAGTATGAACAAGAGCTCAGGCATTTTGGTAAGTGAGATACCAAATCAGTGTGTCGAGTTTTATTTAAATTAGAAGGAATGTCATCATTTAACAATTTAGATTGTGGCAGGTTTAGGGAGGATTTTTCCTTCAGCTTCAGTGGAAGAGGTCACGTTATTTAGTTTTTATGTGTATGCTTGTATGATTAAGTTAAAGTTGGGATTTCATCTCAGCGTGTGACATTCTTGCTGTGGTCGCAGAAGATGTGCCACCTACTGTTTCTCAGCAAAGTCTTCACCCTTGTCCGTTATTAAAAGCGGAAGAGCTGAAAGTTTGTAGTCTCAGTAGTTGTTGTTTTATCCACTTTGTGTGCTAAGGAAAAGTCCGTATTACGTTTCTCATTTTCTAATTTCACTGGTGCAAAACTTTCCATTGTTTGTGATGAATTGTCATTCCTTAGAGGCATGAAGTGTCTCTACTGGAATGTAGGAAACCATTCTTCAAACATACAGGATGCTCTGAAAAATGATCCTCAAGAATGTGAAACACAGGCTGCAGATTTCTTGTGCTGGATACTTTCAAATGTACCACAAGAAAGCAGATGATAACAAGCCTGAAGAATCACACACGTCTATCACACAAGCTTATGTCTGTTTGTGCATAACAAGTGCCTAGTATTGCAAAGCTCGTTTAATTATGTTGTAAAGCCAGCAATGTTGCTGTGCAGTAAGTATTTGTGATATTGTATTATCAACAACGTCCTCCCAAAGCAGTCAAAAAAAAAAAAAGGCGTGTGCTTTGTTTCCCTGTCAGGTATGTTGCGGAGATGGGACGACAGTCAGCGATTCCTTGCCGACATGCCTCAGCTCATCTGTGAGGAAACAGCCAACTATCTAATTCTGTGGTGCATGAGACTACAGCAAGAAGGGGTAATGTGCTGACGGAGCTGGTCTTACTTTTATCTGTCTGTTATAATCAACAGTTCCCCAACTACGATAACGCTGAGAGACCAAAACGGCACTGAATTCATCCTCGTCAGCAACGTTGTCAGTGTGGCTGCATCCTCCGTGGAGCAGAACTCTGCTTCTGTCCTAAAAACTGTGAAAATACACAAGATAATGAACTAAAACAACAAATGCAGCCAGCGCAGTTCTTTCCCTTTTGGGTAGTCAAGCAGTGCAAACACTGAACCGCTTGCCTCAGCTCGTTCGACTGCACGCATCTGAAACACGGATCAGGGTTATTTTTATTCTATTCATTGCTGTAGGCATTTTGCAAAGTTGAGATTTGTCTTTTTAAGAAAAGAGCTGGTGTTAAAAATTACATTAAAAAGGCTTCTCGAGTATAAAGTAAGCCATGGTAATGTGACAGGCATCCAGCAATAATCAGATAAAATAAATTCAGATATTTCATCATTTGCACGCCTTGTCCCTTTTCTATGAAAACAAAAAAATAAAAAAGCTAAGAATCCATATGCCATCTTATGTGTTTCATGAGTTTTGGGGCAATTATTTCAGTGACATGAAGTTAAATCAGGCCGTGGCTTCACTGAAATACCGTTTAGGTTAGAATCTCAGCAGGGGATTTGTTGATAGAAAGAATAAATAATTTAAGCCTTATCCTTTCACCATTTTCATGATCTGCAAAATAAGATTAGAGGTCTGACTGAGGGAGGAAACAAACAGACAGTGACCCAAATACACGCATCAATGCATTTGGCTACTTTTTTGTTATCAGAATTTGCAGAAGTCAGATGTCGGATATGTTAAACAGTCCCTGTTTCCCATGATGCCAAGTAAAAAGTATTAAACTAACATCCTAGTTTTTTCATGTCCAGTTCCACACATTGTACAGGTGTTGCTTCAGAGTCATTGTGGTGCCAGAAATTGGACTTTTTCAGAACACAAAACATACAGACTGAGGTCCCAATGAGTTTACAGTCCTCAGTAACTAAATAAACTACTGCATATATGTAAGGTATCAGAATTCACTGACTGTGTTGTGCATGATATGAAATGTGATTTTTTTAAAATGGGTTATCATGAAGGGACCTTTTGTGTAGCTCAAGAGGTTCAATGTGCAGCAGGCTGTGACAACCAGACCCTCCAAACCAGCTTCTTGTTTTGCACCTTGCAGAAAGAAGCGCTGATGGAGCAGGTGGCACACCAAGCTGTAGTTATGCAGTTCATCCTGGAGATGGCTTCGAACTCGAAGCAGGATCCTCGAGGCTGCTTCAGACAGTTCTTCCACAAAGCCAAAGTAAGACGCATGCAGAGATTTAAGTTAACACGGCACTCTGTCTCAATCCTTTTAGTATATCCTAATAGACTGGAACAAAAGCAGATTATTAAAAAAAATCATGGCTTTACACTTGAATGTTCCTGTTTTTGTTGTGGAAAATGGATGTGGTGACTGAAATTTCTTCCATCTCCCTCCAAATGAGTGTTGTCTTTAAGCCGCCTTGTGCCCTGTCTCCTGATATTATTGCCTCTGTTGCTCTGCAGGAAGGACAAGACGTCTACTTAGAGGTCTTCCACACAGAACTCAATGCCTTCAAACAGAGAGTTAAAGAATACACGGTCAAATGTAGAAGCGACACATCCACCATCGAGCAGCAGAACATCGGCACAAACTGCAGACTCGACCCCAAAGAAGCAACAGACTCTTTACCTCCAGTAAGTATGTGTTTTCTTAGAACCACTACGGTACTGCAGTTGCCTCTTGCAGCTGTGAGGTGGCGCCATTGAGCTATTGTGTATTATTCCCTGCTCATGCTGATGCAAATTTGCAAACAACTATTTTCACTTTCAAAACACATCATCACAGGAAGCACCACGTTTTCCCACAGCTGCTGCCAAAGTTGACTTTACCTGTAAACCAGTGCTGAGAGGTCATCATGTTGCTGATGTTCGCCAGTGAGACAACACTTGTGTAAAGCATTTGTAAAGAATTGTTGTTGTCTTTCTCAGTAACTTCTTGCACACAGCAGAACGCTGGCACAACATCATCACAGTGCTTCTACGCTGTGATCCGTAAACTTTATCTTTAGAAGCTGAGATGTCACAAGCAAAAACTTGCTAATTAGGAAGTAGCACAAATCGCTGTTGCAGCTTTTTCAAATCAGGCCTTTATATAGTCGAGTACAATTATAACTGTGAAGCACTTATAGTTCACAGTTGACTTTATATCCCTTTAAAAAAATTAAAATAATCTCTAAATCCAACCTGTAACGTGTCAGTAAAATAGATAGATAGATAGATAGATAGATAGATACTTTATTCATCTCCAAGAGAAATTTACAGTTCCAGCAGCTTCCAAGAAGGGAACACAGGGGCATGCAGTGTTCTAGTACAATAAGTTTAAGTGTTGATAAATGTCCCAGTGGTTAGATTTCTGTGAAGATTCTCAGTCATCCAGGTCGAGGTTATTCTCGTAGACTAATCGTAGCAGCTGGACTTTCTTGAGTTCCTTGAAGACGTTTCATGTCTTATCCAAGAGGCTTCATCAGTTCTGAATTGAAACCAAAACTCAGGTGTTAATGGCTCCTTAAGGATATCTGAAGATATCTTCAAGGAACTCAAACAAGTCCAATTGCTACGATTAATCTACCAGAAAAGTCCCAGTGGTTAGGTTTTTGAGCTGCTTGACATGCATTGTTCTTTATTAGCTGAGGAAATGGCAACAGCAGGTAGTTAAATGAGCCATATTAGGCAGTTTTAAATCATATTATAATCATAATAATAATAATACGTTTATTTTGTACAGTGCTTTTCTAGATACTCAAAGTCAGAACAGACACAAGTGGAATAAAAGGCAGATAAACAAAGCAAGGTGTAGAAAGCAGGTATAAAATGGCACATATACCAGATTTAGTTTTTTCTGGTTATTTATTCTTTACTGCTGGCTGTCTGAAGTCAGGGCTGATTTTAATGTTTTTTAATGCTTTTATTGTTGTCATACACAAAGTACAACAAAATTAAAAGGCAACTCCAGTGGTGCAAAAGTATAAAAGTAAAAGTATAAAAAGACAAATAAGAATATATATTTACAAAAGGAGCCAGTAGGAAGTGTATACAGTTAGCCAAACGGCAGAATAAATATATTGCACTGTTGAGGTAGGAACACTGTGGATATATGAGAAATATGAATGATATAAATAATATGAAATAGAAAAAAATGACATTTTAGATGAAGCTTTTTTTAAAGTGGTGTTTAACAGTAAAAATCAAGCAACACAAGTCTGACACACCAAAGTGCACATCAGCCATGCAACAGATGTTTAGTCTGTCCTCTACTCAAGTTGTACATAGAAATGCATGTACTGCTGTAGAAGTCGTTATTTTCTGGATACAAACAGACTTTGACGTATTTTGACGCCTTTTTGTTCTTAGCACACCCTCATTAACCCATAAAGGCATGGTTTTTGCCATTTTAGTAATCAGGTCTGTAATTTAGCCCTTTGAAGTTCCCTCTTTGGTTGCAATCACAGCTTTGAGTCGTCTTCAAGCCTCTAAAAGCTTTTCTCACCTGGATTTGGGCAGCTTATCCCACTCTTCCTGGCAGATCGTCTCAAGCGCTGTGTGACTTGATGGGAAGTGTCTGTGAGCTAGAAAAGATTTGTCCAAAGATGCTCTATGAGGTCCGGGCCTCGGCCGGGCCTCTCAATGAAACTTGAACCCAAAGCCGCCACAGCTTTGTCTCGGCTGCAGAGTTCAGGTCAGAGGTGAACTGTCCCCCTAGTTTCAGGTCGCTGCACTCTGGTGCCAGCTTTCTTCAAAGACGCTTCTTTATTTTGCTGCATTCATGCTTCCATCATTCTGAGCATTCTTCCTGCAGAGAAGCACCCCAGACGCATAATGCTGCCACTCCAGGTTTCACTTTGGGGATGATATTAGCATAGGCTGGGAGTTCTGCCTGAACAATTTTTCTTCTATCCAAGAGTGACTTCATTCTAGTGCTTCTACCATAACGACCTCAACTGGGGAAGTGCTGCTGAGGTGGTCCTTCTCCTGACAGTGACCAAAGTCCTCCTTGCTCGGTTACTCAGTTTGGCAGGATGACCAACTTGAGGAAGAGTCCCGGTGGTTTTAGTTATATTTCATAAATATTGAGATCCCCTTGGTCCTGGGAACACGTTAAGCTTAGAAGGTAGGTTTAGATCCTTACCTTTAACTGTCCTTTGTCACAGTTTTATCACAAAGCTCTGTAGAGAGTTCTTTGTCATGGCTTGATATTAGCCTTTTTCAACTGCGTATCAATTTATTTTTCTTTAATCATCCTTGAGATGTTTCTAGGTCTTGATTGGGGTCAATCAGTAGCACCCAGGATAAATCAGTTTGGAGTGTTGCAGCAAAGGATCTGTTCACTTTTGTAAACGAGAGAATTCAGTTTACTTGTTAAATTGTTTTCTTTTGGGTTATTTAATGTGGACTGATTGGCAAAAAAAAGCAATTTTATCCATATAAAGTACAATGACTAACCCACTAAAGTGTGCAGGATGTGAATTTTCTGCATCCGCTGTAGATGCAGCTCTACTCTCTCCTCCAGTTTAAAGGAAAGACAGAATCCTGTGTGACCCAACGTGAACAGACGGTCGCTCTCCGGAGCCCCAAGCTGTCTGTTTCCTCCACATTAAAACTCTTTACTGTACACGACATTGTAAACTAATTACAGACATGAAAGAGATTTCTATTTCAACATTCAGAGGAAGTCATGTGTGAAAGTTGCGAAGGCTACCTACTAAACTTGATCGCTGCACTTTGAAAGCCTTTTGTAAGCCAGAGAGAGAATGGGGCCGCCAACCCTTCGGGGGCCCCCACAGCTTGACAAGCTGCCAAACATCTACTCAGAAAAAAAAAAGGGGGAAATAAAACCACATCCTTCCTCTCTCAAGGGGGATCAAGTGTGTTGAAACTGAAGCTGCTCCTGCTTTTGGATTTGTGCTGTTTTGTTCCTGTCAGAGCGTCTCTTCACCTCAATTTGAACTCAGTTTGTGAGGAGCGATTACATATTTGAGGAACTGTTTTGTTTTGTTTTTTAAGAAGAGCAAACATCTGTGCCGGGACAGATTTGTTTTGTGTCATGGCAACATCTACAGAGAGGGAAATCTGAAGTCACAATTTTAGTTGCAACTCGGATCAGCACAAGAAATCTTCCAGGGGCGGAGACGGCGGCATTATAATCCTCCAGCTACACCAGACTAATCCCTCGAGCCTCGTTTGAACCTCTTTTTAATGTCTCATGTGTGCCAGACAGTCTTCACCTGTTCTGACTCCTCCTGTCTCTGTCTTCCTCCAGCAGATGGCAGAGTATCCTGTGAAGCGTTGTTTAGAGGCTGGACTTTGGACAAGCACAGGGCGGTGGACAAAGGACGACGCCACAGAGACAGACGACATACGCATGATGGAGACGTCTTAAGGAACGTAGGCTCGGCCCCTGCTGTTCTTCCATCTCCATCGTCTCTCCCCGTTTTTAGGAACAAAATGAGTTTGAAGCCCTCTTTACGCAGCAGCAGCAGCAGCAGACCGGGCTGCAAAAAACGCTATTGCAGAGCAGGAATAAACGGAGACGCTGCAATTTTCAATGGAGAGCCGGCAGGAAACACGTGTGTCGGTGTTGCCGTTAGCATGTCGCTGTGGTTGGCGAGTTGGTACCTGCAGTGTCTTTTGCCAGCTGAATGCATGTTGTGCCATAACCATTGTTTTACAGATGGAGTTCTCACATCCTTGAAGCTTGTCTTTTTTTTGTTTTTTTTTCTTTCTTCCGGATCAGAGGAACATCCTGGCTTAAAAAAAAAAAGCAAAACAAACTGCACATTTTATCCAGACAACATATGGAATACTAAACCTGTATAGTCTCTGGGCAGTAGCCAGTTGTGAACCAAATCCATGACCTGAAGCAGGGCTCAGGTCATTTGAGAAGGGTTGTTGGAGGAATCGTGTTGGGTTTGAGAGGAGTTTAACTGACAGCTTTGAATCACACGAGATACAGGAGGGTTTAACTGAAGCTGAATATTTTATATGTGCAGTATTGGAAGCTGTTCCGGGTCAAAAGGTTTGATCCAAAGCTCCAGGATACAGTGAGGACTGTAAAAGGAAGGTGTTTTTAGGTAGGAGTGATTTAAATCAAGGGAAACACGCCTATATTTAGGAACTTCTGAGCATATTTGGAATGAAGTAAACCTGAGACGAATCTGTTTGCCTGAGAGTCAGACTTGTTGTCGTCGTCGTATCATATCAGCGGTAAAAACTGGACGTCATAGTGCTTCAGTTGATGTGACGTAAGCCTTCGGTTTTTAAAATTGCTTCACTCCAAGCAAACTTAGCAGCTTTATGCTAATTTGCAAAGAGCACTTTGAGTAATCATGTCTGAATCTCTACGTCCACCTGGATTTACCTGGATTTGTGTTTTTTCCAAGAAAAAGTGGGCTTGAACGCTCTTTTGTTTTGTTTTTTATTTTCTGGTCACATCCTCCCTGTACTGAAGGTGGCGCAGTGGCCTCGCAGTAAGAAGGTCGCTGGTTTGCATCCCAGTCAGAGCACCGGGATCTTTCTCCATGTTCTCCCCGTGCAGCGTGGGTTCTCTCCGGGTTCTCCAGCTTCCTCCCACACAGTCCAAAACCATGTTGAGGTTAATTGGTGATTCTAAATCGTCCGTAGGTGTGAATGTGAGTGGTTGTCTGTCTCTAACTAGACTGGTTACCTGTCCAGGTGAACCTGCCTTCACCCTGAGTCAGCTGGGATAGACTCCAGCCCCCCACGACCCTAGTGAGGATTAAGAGTGTATAGATCATGGATGGATGGATGGATCCTCCCTGTTGGCTCCCAAAACCGATCTACATGTGTTGCACACAACCCCACAGGTGTCTCAGGCTGATTATAGGAGAGGATGATAATTCGATGGTCAGTTGAGCAATGAAAAGTCAACAGTGGATGTTTGAAGATGGAAGCTTTTGTTTGGCTTCTGTCATAAATCATCATTACCTGATTGTTGCTGATCCTCGTTGTGGCGGAGAAGCGCGTCCTCTCTCGTTGCTTTAAGTAAAACAAGTTTGCTAAAAGGATGGTTTATGTGACGACGTAGATTTTAAAGTTGTGATTATCAGTGTGGCCTTATATGTCTAAACTCTTTGCCGGAGCACACTACAGCTTCACAAGTGGAGCAGTCAATGCAATATCAGCATCTCTTAACGTGTTTATTTCTCTGTTTTCCAAAAAGTATTCCTTGCTGTTGTCTGGAAAGGATTAAAAACAGCAAACTGAAAACCTCTCCATTTGTTATTAACATGCATCTGTGGCAGTGAGGTTCTATCTGGGTAGCTGAGATTTAACTGTGCAGGCAAATGGGTGAGAATTCATGCAATAGTCAAAACGTAATGCCGACAATGAGTCGTAAAACAAAACCACAAGAATTGACATGTTTGATTGCAGTAAATGAAAATCTACAGTGTGACGTAACACTGGGCAGTATTGGCGTGTGTTTTTGTGACAAAACAAATGCAGCTTTTCAGGACTGTAGTTCGTTTTTTTGAGAATTTAAGTGATTTGCAGGTGACTAATGAGTAATAGTGCATGCTTTTTAGTATGTGACACAATTTCACGACTAACAAAACCTTCAAAGATGATGCAGATGTCTTTTAAAGAGGCTAAATCAACTCAATTCTAGGTGTCAATAAACAGGACTCGGTTATTATGAGTGCAGGAGGCGTAGTGATGTGAGACGCCCCCACGTTGGTCTGTTTTTATTCACCAGCTGAGTTTTCCTTCCTGTAATTTGAACAAGCACATTGATGATAAGAGTTCACCAAATTCTCTCTACATGGGTTTTGTGTATTTATTTCATGGTTTTGTTGTTTTCTTTTATCACCTGAAACCAAGTCACGACCACCAGTTTCCTCACACAAGACTGTTGAGTTAAAGTTCTTGAATCTGTTAAGTATGAGCTAAAGAAGAAAAAAACACCAGTGTGGAGGAGAATGAGGAGGAAAAAAGGGCTGAGCTCTCCATAAAGAGACTTTTACTGTGTGTGTGCAGAACGGAGCTCTCTGCACCTGAATGTGTCCTGCACTTTATATTTCTCTTTTCAAAAATGGAAATCGTTAAGGAGGAAGTGTTGACTTTACTGTTCCTCTGCATCGTGTAACTTTGATTTGTGTTTTTTTTTTGCTTTGTTCCCAGTCATCCAGAAGTGAATTTGACATTTTTTTTATCCTGTGATGAGCTTGTGTGACATTTATATTTCACCTTTTGTGTTTTGGTCCTTTTGCCTTTCTTTGTCTCTTGGGTGAGCTTTAACCAGATTCATTAGGCTTCCCTTTTATTTAGCAAGGCAACAGAAAGCAGCATTTCTACTCCAACCTGAAGTACCAACCATACATTGAATAAAACTCGAGGCTGCTTGTGATGCATTGTTGATTCAGCAGCTGTTATCATCTCACCAATTATTATTTCAGTTCCTGTCTGACGTATGAAACAAAAATACTGTAAAACAAGCCGGTGTTGTCAGCAGTGAAGCTACATAGTGGACCTAAATGTTGTTTTTTCTTTGTCATCGTCCACAACGACTACTCAACTATGCAAATCTAATTATCGGGCTTGTGTTGCTGTACTAAACCTGTGGCCGCTGTCTCTGGTGTCTTGGCTTTTGGAAGTCTCGTGTTTCTGAAGTTTATCCGAACTAGTATCTTGAGACTTGGTGTTTCTGTCACTTAGCAACGAGCTGTAGGAAGATTACACTTCACATTCACAGCACACTACAGCGAGAAGCTCAAACACAAAACCAGAGCTAAATATTTGTCTTCTTGTCGATTGCTGCTGCTGTCAGTCGGCCTGCGGTGGCTTTACAATGGGATCCTTTAACATTTAAAACTGACGACCTTTGGATGGCTTTGTAATTAAATCCTTTATAGAGTAACTCCACTGATTTTACACATCAAAGTGTGTTTGTCGGCCTGAGGGAGCGCTACTGAATATGTAAGGTGAAGTTGTACAAAGGCTTTTGTGGCTCTTGGAAACCTGTAGAAAACAATTTTAAAAGCTAAACTAAAGGGTTGTGGAGCAGAACTGTGTCACCTGCAAGCTCAAGGCTTTATCAGTTTATCAATGAGTGGAGTTCTCCTTTTAAATGTTACAGGCGCAGACATGTTACCGCCCAAATCAGTTAAATGAAAACACTTAAGTCGCGTCCTTCTGGTGTACAGTACGATGAGTTTATTGTGATTCATAAATACTTGTCTACGAAACAGGAGATCGGCTTTCAAACGTTGCATTCAAGTATTTAGGAGTGCACGGGACAACCAGGAAACATCATCCGTCTGCACAGCGCACCGCAAGGCAGGTTTCTGTGGCTTTTATTTCGAGCAAAGTGCAAAAAAAAAAAACACAGCAGATCGACCTCGAAGGACCGCGATAGCTTCCACCAAGACGATAGCCCTGTACAAACTGTGGTGATGTGTGTGTGTGTGTGTGTGTGTTGGCATATCTTTTCAGTTACATCCTCAGTTGTGGAGTCACATTAAATGGCAAATATCAGTCGGTCAGTAGAAGCAGAGCGGCTGGTTAACACGGAAACGACATTAAGACTCGAGGTGGTTTTAAGAAGCTGTTATATGATAATGGTTTCTTGTGATGATTAAAAAAATATTCAAATACAATAAGTGTGGTTGGTTATTTCGTGTGTGTGTGGTCCATGGTTACAAAAGAAATGCATTTTACATTCACTGAGCTACCAGTTACATGGTCAGAAGCAGCAGAAGGCACTGGAGTGCTTTAGTGAGTTTACAGTCGTTTGTAGAACATGGCACATTTCCCTTTAGGGCAACAGTCCCACTAAGGCAGGTACACACACACCTTTCTGTTTTACTAAAACCACGACATCTCATGAAGAACGCTGTAAATGTATCTTGTGTGTGTGCTAATTCTTTTCAGCCAGATCAGCTGAGAAAACTGCAAAAAGAAATCCTTGAAATGAAAAATGCACACATGGTTCACCAGGAGAACACACTGAATGATTCTGTCTGTACATCTTGTGCAAACGCAACCTTCAGATTCTACAGTTAAAGATCTTAATATCTGAAGCTGCTTTATGAAGGCACGAAATAACAGTCCGTCTGAACTCTTACCAACTGAAGATTTTGCACACACACCCTGAGAATTTTACCAAACTCTCTTCATAACGTTGCAGAAACGGTGCAACAAGTGGTATAAGAAGCTTTTTTTTTTAAAAAGTGGAGTTTTCACAACATCTAGAGGCCGGCTGCACAAAACACCACAAGGTTTTCCTCCTGAAGTGAAACACCTAAGATCAGGAGGTGATGTGGTAGTTTCTAACAGGGGGGATGGTCCAGTGAACCGCAGTGGTCCAACACAACAACACACAACACACACACAGCGGGGAAGGCAGGGTAAAAGGGGGGATGGGGATTGCCCCTGATGCCCCTCAAATCACCTCCTGCCTCAGGCTTAAGCTCTTAACTAAAGGACTGGCTTAAGGATCGTGCACTCTTAAAATGCTTCTCAGTAAAGGAATAACACTAAAGCGTTTATAGCACCGAAAGAAGTTTTAAAATTCTGCAATTACTGATTGTCTGCACTTTTTGTCTCAGAAAATTGTCCAAAATAAAATTTGTCAGAGGAGGAAAAGGTTCTGCTTCCAAAGGAATGTTTATAAAAAAGAAAGCACATAAAAAATTTGATCCACAAATGATGGAAAACAACAAATGTGGGAGAAAACTGTGGCAAAAATGAATTATTTTCTTCAATTATCTCCATAAACTTGGTTATAACAGACTCACAGGTACCTTAACTGTTTTTTTTCTTTACTTTGGTCGCTCAGGTCTTTTGTGCAACAGTTTCTACTATTCCTTAAGTATTACACAAAGATAAGAAAACACCTTAAAAATGTAAATGAACATGTTAAAAACCCCTAAGGAACTTTGTGCAACTTAAGAAATCTGAAGTCAGACTTAAGGAAACTCTTAACTTGCGGTGTTTTGTGCGACCGGCCCCCGTGTTCCTCATTTCAAACATTCAGAATATATTATTACATAAATTTCTCTTCCCTTTGTTTCACAGAAGGCGGAGTGATTTCTGCTGGTAAACTTCAGGCCTTTTCTGTTCGGGCTTTCTACGCCACCTTCTGATTGATGGAGGAGAGTTTTCTGTGGAGGAACGCCTCGACGTGCGGCCATATCTTGTTGGTTTCTGTCCCCGTGAAGGTCTCTAGCACACCTTTACTCCTGGAGGGGAAAGGCCATGTTGTTGTTTTTTGAAACATTACAATACAGCAAGTAGAGATTCATGCTTATACTCTGATAATCAGGGGTTACTGTGCATAGAACTGTGAATGTTAGCTCTAAAATATACAGCAAACAAAGTGAGATAGCAATCAAAGGCCAATTATTTAAAGCATTTAATGTGAACTCTAACTTCTCCTATTATCACTCTGAAATTTTCTGCATTTCTTACAGTTAATAAACAGATTTTTATGCTTAGTGGTAAAAAATAAAAATAACTAAAGTGAGACACCAGATGAGCACATTCTTGTGGTTTAAGGGAATAAAGACCAACATGTTTTCCTGACGAAATAGTCCAGACATATAAAATATGAGGCATGCACTCTTTTGCTGGGTTTTATTGCTTCAGCTTAATCTTTAGAATAAATGTTTAGTAATCTGTGTATTCATTTAATAGGCACAAGCATAAGCAGAAAGCCTATTAGCCTGCCCTCTTGGAATCCAGTTCCTGAGCAGTTCTTTCAGTTATGCAACTGCAAAGAAAATGAAAAGACAGAACAGTCCAAGGTCGAGGTTGAATAGCAACTAGCTGTGGCCTTTTACCTACATTTAATCATCTATTTCACGACCACTTCAGCAGAACATTTGCCTCATTTTGCATCTTGTGTCTCTGTGCTGTGGTGCAAATTAAATTCTCATCAAGAGCTGAGCCCCGGTGATGTAATAAACAGCTATAAAGGGGGTAAACGTGCAGTAATCTGTAATGATCTACCTGTAGTACTCTAAGACGGGCTCCGTCTGGTTCTCATAGGCCTTCAGTCTCCGTGTGACCGTCTCCGGTTTGTCATCATCCCTCTGGACCAGAGGCTCCCCTGTCTCATCATCCAAACCCTGGAAAAAGCACAGAAACTCAATTTAAATACCCCATATATAACAGACAGAGACGCTGTAGTTGTACTGATCTACAGCTGTGGGTAGGATTTGTTCAGCTGACACATTACACACGGTAGGAAAAGATAGCGCTGCTCTGGAAACACAAAGCGATGCCAAGCAGTTCTCACACCAGCTGAAGAGGTGTTGATCTGACTTTTCCTTGTTAGTTTGCCCTGACTTCTTTGTTTCTTGTTGAAGCCTTTTACACAGCAGATATTTTGACTTGAAATATCCTAAAAAAAAAAACACACAAGTATGAACACTAACTAATACTGACGGCTCCCTTCTATTCATGCTGCTGCAAGATGTATTTATGACTTTTATTTTTTAATCCTTTTTAACTCCACTGGGTTTTGTTGGCTGTTACTTCCCACTTCTACACAATAGATGTTTTGTATTTTGTTGCAGTGATAAAAAGGAATCTTCTGTCATACCAGCAGCACTTTAAGCTGAACAACACACATGTTCCCAGTGACAACGTAACATGCTGATGTTTGTAGGGCTGCAACTAATGATTATTTTCATCTGTTAGTTTCTTAATTAATCAATCAGTGGTTTGATCTAGGGGTGCAAGGTGGCGCACTTGAATAGCACTGTTGCCTCGCAGCAAGAAGGTCACCAGTTCGCGTCCCGGTGAGGACACCCGGGATCTTTCTGCATGGAGTCTCCATGTTCTCCCTGTGCAGCGTGGGTTCTCTTCGGGTTCTCTGGCTTCCTCCCACAGACCAGAAACATGTTGAGGTTAATTGGTGATTCTAAATTATCTGTAGGTGTGAATGTGAGTGTGCTTGGTTGTCTGTCTCTAAGTGTAGCCCTATGATAGACTGGTTACCTGTCCAGGTGTCTCCTGCCTTCACCCTGAGTCAGCTGGGATAGACTCAAGCCCCCCATGACCCTAGTGAGGATTAAGCGGTGTACAGATAATGGATGGTTTGATCTATAACATGGTGAAAAATGGTTTTTAAAAAAAATGTCCATCAGAGCCCAAAGATGACGTCCTCGAAAGTCTTGTTTTGTCCACAACCTTCAGACATTCACTTTACTGTCATAGAGGTGTAAGAAACCAGAAAATATTCAAAATTACGAAGGTTCCTCTTGTACTGGGCAGGATTGCTATTGCAACAACACATCATCAGTAGGGTAAAACTATCCTGTCTCACGACGGTCTAAACCCAGCTGATGTTCCCTATTAGTGGGTGAACAATCCAGCACTTGGTGAATTCTGCTTCACAATGACAGGAAGAGCCGACATCGAAGGATCTTCTGAATTTGAAAATTGTGACTTTTCTTTAAAAAGTTGCTCAAACTGATTATTCAGTAACCAAAACAGTTGGTGATTGTATTAGTAACTGCAGGCCCTGGTGTTTCAAAAGACTTGCATCCTGTCTAACTTGTAAAAAATACATGAATTCCCTGCATTTTGTCCAGACCTGAATCAGTGCAAAGAATACCTTTATTATAGACGGTTACCAGGTAATGTTTGCCTCATTCCACCTTCGTTAAAATGCTAATGTCTGTTAATAAAAACTGAGCACAAAGTACAACTGAGGGACCTGATGGGAATGTCACAAGGCTAGCAGGTACTTAGGAACACATGTGATCACCAGAGTAAAGGTCATGGAATAATCAAAATCACATAGTTTCCCCCTGTGGGGATAATTATTGTCTGTGTAGAATTTCAAAGCAATCCAGCAAATAAATTATTTTAATCTGGATCAAAGCGGCTGACTGACCAACCAACCCAAGCACTGCCATCCATGGAGCAACATCACTTGCACAATAAAAGAAATGCATGCAGTTAAAGAGAGCAACAGGTGGTTCTGAAGCTACTACAGGGAGAAGCAAAGGTCAGCAGGTCAAATAAGCCAGTATAAGTGGAAACATGCATCACCAGGAACAGTATATCACATTCAGTCCCATCACTAATATCCAAACTTTAACTTTTACCAGCTGCATCCTTTCACAGCATCCGTCTGCCTCTTGCACAGTTCAGTGGGGAATATTGCAAATTTAACGGGTATAGACGGTTTTAGGGATGTGTAAGTATCTTCCATATTCTTGGAAAGTATGCACAGTCCCCGAGGAGCACTTCTGGGCCTGAGAGGGAGCAGCATTCTCGTGCCATCCAAAAATGTGTGTGAGATTTACAGGGAACAAGATTGTGTGAGGCGCCTCAAACAGTTACAGTTGTTGTAAAGCTTATCTCGGCGTGCTCGTTAATACTTGACAGCTGCTTCATCAATTAAAAAAAAAAACTACTGGCATTTTAAACCCTTCACTGATTTAATTCCAGTTTTTAGGTCTGCTTCTGTTAAACTGTGAGGAATAAACTGATGCCAATGATTAACCACAAACGAGCCGTTCCTCCGATCTGTGCAGAAACTCTGACAGCAGATTGCACAGAGAACACACGACCCAGGAGACATCAGCTATGAATCATCCGCCGGTTACCCAGAAACTCAGACGCATTCGCAAGCTTGTTGACCTGCAATTGTGCACAACTGAACCAAAATTAGCAGCATAACGATGATTACAATTACATAATCTACTTAGTGTATTGCTTCACGCATAAGAATGTTGGATATTCCTATTTTTCTGTGAGTTTAGTTTAAAGGGGCGCAGTATGATATTCAGAACCAGTGGGCATCGCTAGAGCAGTAGAACGTTGGTCACACTAGCGTTGTAATTCGCTTTGCTTGCTCAGTTCTGCTCTGGTACAGACCTACAGTAGCAGAGAAATGTGCAAAAACAGAAGAAGAGACTTTCTCACTCAGCTGACCATCGCATTATCATCCTCTCCTATAATCAGCCTGAGACACCTGTGGGGTTGTGTGCAACACATGTAGATCGGTTTGGGAGCCTAGAGGGAGGATCCATCCATCCATCCATTATCTATACACCTCTTAAACATCACTAGGATCACAGGAGGCTGGAGTCTATCCCAGCTGACTCAGGGTGAAGGCAGGTTCACCTGGACAGGTAACCAGTCTATCACAGGGCTACACTTAGAGACAGACAACCAAGCACACTCACATTCACACCTACAGACAATTTACAATCACCAATTAACCTCAGCATGTTTCTGGACTGTGGGAGGAACCCGGAGAGAACCCACGCTGCACGGGGAGAACATGGAGACTCCACGCAGAAAGATCCCGCGACCTTCTTGCTGCAAGGCAACGATGCTAACCACCGAGCAGCCTTGCAGCTCACAGGAAACGTGTGAATAATCAGAAAAAAAAAATCATGGTCATAAAGCTATAATCTTGCACTCCCATCTCACTTCTACAACGCGGAGTGGGCGGCTACTCAGTCAGTTTGTGATATCAGGGAGGGCCAACAGTTTCAAAGGGAGGGACTCACATGCACTAACATGCACGTGTGGCCTGACCGCCTGCCAAAACATACAGCAGAGCAGCTCGGATTACAACAAACACAAAGAAGGTCTGTTCCTTCATTCACTGCACTCTCCACCGTATCTTTGCATAGATGGTAGCAGTCTGCTGTTGCACTGAAGCTATGTGTGTGTTCAAACACTTACACATGCACGATTAACTACCTGCTATTTATCATAGAGGGAAAATATATATAATAAATATTAAAATGTTTAAAAGTCAAAGTTTTTAAAAGAGAACTTGGTAAATTTGGTGTAAGACACAGTTTCCCATTTTTATAAAACTGTGATAAACCTGTGATCCAGTAATTAAATAATGTGTGCAATTGGATAGTCGGAAAATAAAAATGATATTTTTACTCATTTTAATGTTAATTCAGGCTTCTTATCCCCTTTTAAAAATACAGACTTCTTCTGTGGTACACTTGCATTTCAATTTGTTTATGCAAAGGCTCAGTACCAGTGATATAAAACACCTGCTTACATGTTCTTCAGCTTTGTATGTTTTAAAAAGAGGGAAAAATCAGGCTCTGATTTTATTTTTCTAAATCTTTCAACCTGGAAATCACTTTGTGTGTGTTTCTGTTTAACTCAGTTTTATGCCTTTCAACCTGTCCTTCAGTAATTCTGCTTCAGTTTTGTCTGTCCTGGTCAGAAATCTGTGTTTTTTTATTCTGCTATCCTCCTTTCTTTGCCTGAACATCATTTGTGTTCAATCTAAAGAGAAGTTTTGGAGAAATGCTTCAACAGTTAGAATTCTGTGATCTCAAGCAACAAAGACAAAGACTGTTTGTCCTACGGAAACTTTCAGGGGATTTATGCTTGCAGACACATTGTGCAATTTCGGTTGCGCAAAGTTGGGATAAATACAGCTTTAAATGTCAAATAAAGCAGCAGCTGAAAGGAAGAAACGAGTAAGAGAGGATGTATTTACAGTGACTTTAGGAGGGTTGAAATCGGTGTTGTAGACTCTGCCGCTCGGAAGGTGAGTCCAGCGAGACGTCAGCCTCTGCCTGATGGTCTGGAAAGGAACATTGAGGTTGATGACTGTATCCACAGTGTAGACGTCATCCAGAGCCTCCGCCTGCGATACTGTCCGAGGGAAACCTGGCGAGGAGATAGGCAGACAGAAAAATCAAGGCAGAGGGTACGAGGAACAAAGGTGGACTTTAAATTAAATAGCTTAAGGTCTCAGTTATCATTCCCTTGAGTGGTTTATCTGCTTGTACAGAACAAACTATGTAAAAGCTGTGAAACCTGTGACAAACAATGCTGATAACACACTCTGCTAAGAACATTTCAACAACTCCTGATCCAAACTTGTGATCTCCCACCGTCCAGCAGCCAGCCGCTCTGCTCTATTGTTCTCAGGTCATTGAGGATGAGACGAGACATGACGTCATCAGGTATCAGCTGACCCTGATCAATACAGGACTTCATCAGCAGACCGAGCTCTGACACAAACACACAAAACAAGAGACACAGAGTGAGGATGCTGTTCAAACCCATCACACAATTAAGCTTCTTTTTTTCCGGCCTGCACTTTTAATCCAGACTTTATAAAGACTAGTTTAACCACCATGTGAAAAATGACCTACGTGTCAAAAGCATCTAATGAGGTTCATTTTCTCCAGAAGAACTGGAAGCTTTTGCACGTTTCAGCTGCATTTGTGAAGTGTTGCACAATGCCACAACACTGCATTTTAGAATTTTAAAGACACAACTTGTGGTGCTGAATTACGGAAGAAGGAAAGTAAAACGATGCACCCAGCACAAAAACAGACGTATCATGACACAGTGTAGAACTTTTTTTCCCACCCGAAAGCAACCTAATGGAAAATTTAAAGGGACATTACAAGTTTGAAGAGGCCGAACCACAGGGGTGTCTTCTTTTTTCTCTCTCACTTCCACTTTAACTGGTCAGAGTCCAGTGGAAGAAAGGAATTTCCTGACAAGCCTTGCAGAAATTGTGCTAATATCTGATGTCGCTGAGGGTACAACTTATATAGACCGAGGTGTTGTTGTTTTCTGTCAGTTTGTGAAAATGTCATGAATATGCAGCTTTGAGCCCGCACAATGAATCCTGTTTAGAAAGCTGCATGTCAAAGTGACAGTGGAGGAGGAGGAAATGAATGGGTCCATTTAAAGCGATGTGATCAAGCTTGAAAGCAAAATACAGAACTGCATTTTCCTGACAACTAGAAAGTGAGTCACTCTCAAGAAGCGGAAATCAAAGAACTGAATGAGGAAAATATAATCAGGGATGATCAATGAGGAGAAATGCTTGGAGCTGCTCAGCTGCCAACAATACAAGTTAAATTGAGGAACTGTGTCTGTGCTCAGTTCTGAGGAATAACAGGCCACGAAGAGGAAGAATGAACGTGTGCATAAACAATGTTTAAAGCCTGATTACATGTCGCTGCTGTGGGATTGTTCAACCCTGCAGCCGCTCTGTCATACAGTTGTAAAAAAAAAAAAAAGAACCCAGACATTATCTGCAGCTCCTCCCCTCAAGGAACAAAAGTTCACGGCTTAGGTTATAAACTTTACACCTCTTCTTTATCTTCATTCAAGGTGATATTGAGGAGTAGTGGGCCTCCGTCCAAGTTCTGGTAATGTTGGGTCGATTGTTTGCAGTATCAACACCTTCTATAACCCTGGAAACCAGTTTGACCTTGGTTACAGTGAGAAAGACAAATAATACTCTTCTGTCACAGCAAGATAAGAGCTCAGACTGTTGGAGGAGTGGTGCCTTGAACAAACCTCACCATGTGTGTGTAACAAGCTGCTTATAATGAGATTATTTCTAACAGAGCACAATCATAAAGACTAAGTGTTTTTATTTCAACACATACCTGAACACACACCATAATAAGACAGCATCTGCATGGCCTTAGTTTGGTCATGTTACCTGTTTTTGCGTTGATGTTGGCTCTCAGAATATCCCCACTAGAAAGGTGCTTCAGTCCAAAACTTTTGGTTATGCGCGCAGACACGGTTCCCTTCCCAGATCCAGGAGGTCCCATAATGACAGCACGAACGACTCTCTGCAGAACCATTTTGGCTTTAATTTGAATTCCTAGAAACAGAACACCCTTCTCCCGAAACCCCTCAGGATGGAACTATCAGGATGCTGAACCGAGACTCGATAGGAGCAGGTTTAGCCACGATCCCGTCCTTCCAGTGTGCGCGACGTGACAAAGAGTGGGTGCGTCTTCAGCAGCCAGTTCCGAGTCTCTCTGGACTTTTACTTCGCCCTCACGCAAACGTGCAGAAACTGAAGGAAGAGGAGGAGGAGGAGGAGGAGGAGAAAGACGGCTGCGCACTGCTGGCTGCGGTGCCAAACGAGGACGCACACCTCTGACGACGCACACGGAGCGAAGAGAGGCTCCTTGGAAGAGAGGAAGAGAAACTTCCTCGCTTGTGCCAGTGTTTAAAGCTTTACTGGATATGTGTTTATTGTATAACGCGGTTATATAATTGGTCTGCTGGCCGAAAAAAAGCTTGTTTGGCAAGGTGATTAATCCCTTCCCAGCCTCGATCTCTTTGAGCTGGCAGACCTGCAGATTGACAGGCATGCTGGGATGGACAACAACTAATCTGCGCGCTCATATTAAGCTTTTAAAACATTTTTCTGAGCGTTTTCAAAGGATTAAATGACGTTTGCATACATGTTTGCATGCGTGCATCTCAGAGAACGCCTTTAAGCTTTTGGTTTAACCTATTGTTACTCTGTGCAGCCTATTTAAACGTGTCAACCAGTTTGAGTTGCTTTACATTGCAGTATGATCTTATTTCTAAGGCATAATAAATAAAGATTAAATAATAAATGCTCACAGTTATTGGTTGTAACCCCGTTTGTTTACACTTTAATCCGTTTTGTGCCTTTAAGACTTATTATTCAGTCACGCCCACTTGGTTTTAATGAATGGTTCTGGTGCCATCTAGTACCTCAATGTGGCAAATGCATCCTTTATTAAAAAACGCAAAGGGCCCTTTTTTGACCCTCCTGCGCCGCCGTACTCTCGCCTCCCACTTCCTGGACCAAACACACGTGGATTTCACTGACGCCACTCACAAACAACAATAACATGGCCAGCCAGGGACTCTCCTACGACGGCTGCAATCTCTTCCGACAGCGGCTGGTGCTGTCCACGCTCAGCGGGAAGCGGGTGAAGATTAAGAACATCAGGAGCAGAGACGACAACCCGGGGCTGCGCGGTGAGTCGCGGCTTCGCTCCGCGTGTGGCGTCGCAGTTAGCTCCGAGGCTAACGGGGGCTAGCTGCTACGCAGTTGGGAGTGTGTTCGGTCGCTGGGCGGCGGAGGTGGGGGAAAATCACGGGGCAGTGGCGTGGATGGAAGATAAATGTAATTGTGCAAAATCGTGTCGTTGTTAAACTCGTCTGGAGCCTTAAAGTGTTGCTTACGGAGCTATTTTTTTTACATTAGTGAAGCGTTTTGTGTTGGCACGTGATTATTATCCGAAGTTCCCACAACAATCCGCCTGTTTGACTTCATGTGTTTTGTCTCCAAACACACAAAGAAAACACAAGTTTGCTCTAAAAGTACTTCCTGACATGAGCCAAAGTCTGAAGAAGAGGGTTTAGTTTTTAAGAAAATGTACTTTTTATGCATAATTTTAGCTGTTTGAAGAGGTTTTGTTCGACTTTCTGATCATATTTTCTTTCTTCTTTCTCCAGATTTTGAGGCCAGTTTCATCAGACTGCTGGACAAAGTGACGAATGGATCCAGAATAGAAATTAACCAAACAGGTAAGTGTTCAAATGACTGAGTTTGAGCTTTGTCAGAGATGATGTGGTTTATATAACAGCTGTCAAAGAAAAGGTATGTTAACATTTCAGTTGTGCAACTTAAGACTTGAGGCTATGTAAATGCAAAGCAGGATTTTGAGTTTTTTGTGTGTTTTGCATATTACACAAGTACAACTTTGGAAATAAGTATTCGGTTACCTCTCACAGTTACTTTCACATGACAGACATTGATCATCTTGTTTGAGTTTTACCACAGTGGTTATATAATTGAAGCATTTTCTAAAAGACGTTTAAAAAAGACTTAAAATTGTATTTGAAATAAGATGTGTTTAAACTAAAAAATGCCAAAATTCACACTAGATGATGGAAAACATTTCTTGAGTCAAACACATTTTGTGCAACTAAACTGTCTGAGAAGAGACGTGCGAGATGTTGAGAAGACGGACATGAAGAGCGATGCAGCCAAAGAGTCGTCACTAAACTGGCTTGTCATCAGCAAAACAACATCCATGACTACATGAAGGAGAAGACACAGTCTGGCTCCATCGAGAACCACAAAGGAAGAAGCAGAAAACAGTGATTGCTGGGGATAGTAATTATTTCCAAAGCTGTGTCATGTTATTTCTGCCTCTTTTTTTTTGCGCTAGTTAATCGATTACACTGACTCATGGAAAAAGCAAATTGAGCTGCATGGATTAATTGATCAGTTAGCAGCTATTAAATTATTAAATTGATCCCCAACTATTTTTGATGATCCATTGATCTTGAGCACTTTCTTATGGGGAAAAAAAAGTAAAAATTGTGGGATTCCAGCTTCGTAGTTATACATATTTTCTGGCTTCTTCTCTCCTTTATGAGGGCAAAACTGAGTATCTTTGGGGTTCTGGACAAAAGAAGACATTTGAGGACATGATCTCGCAGTTTTCTGATATTTTATGAACGCAGTTGATTAATGGGGGAACCATCAACAGTGGAAATAATCATCAGTCGCAGCACTAATAAGACCTTGGTGCTGTATAGTGGTGTTATGCATATAACGGACTCATTCTCTGTCTCTCCTAGGCACCGTGTTATTCTACCAGCCTGGCCTGTTGTACGGAGGCTCTGTGGAACATGACTGCAGCCCTCAGCGTTCGATAGGCTACTACCTGGAGGCTCTGCTCATGCTGGCTCCGTTCATGAAGACGTCCCTGAAGGCCACGCTGAAGGGCGTCACCAACGACCCCATGGACCCAACGGTAAATGACCCTCTGATTGATCGTTTTGTTGTTCGAGTTTGACTCATCCAGCTTGTGGGGCTGAATCATGCCCCGACAAAGAAACGTGTTAAACTGAGCTCAACTCCATAAGCCACATGGACACTGCCCTCTAGTGTTCGCATTGGGACGTGCAGTTACACGCCAGCTGAGATCAACAGAAGAGTTTGTACCGTTCCAAGTTTAAAGTGGAGCTTAAGAACTTGTCATAATAATTTACAGTCACTTTTATGTAACAAGTCAATAGTTCATATGTTGAGATAATGTTCCAACATGTGCAAATATATTCAGTTTTCCCCTCTGGTGACCCATTATTTCTCCTCGTTTGCCCCCAGGTTTGTTTCACATGTTGTTATAGCAAAGCTGGTGTCAGACACCGCGTCATCTTTTTTTTTTGGGCTCTTTGCTATGAGCTGCATTGTTTCAAAGAGGGTAATGTCAACAAACCAGACAAAAGGAAGCAGTAAGGAGCATGAATTGGAGACATTGAAGGGAGCTGTTGTCATGGAAACTGTGAACAGCATCTCTGTTTGTTGCTGCGAGGAGAATTTGTTTGTTGTAAGGTTTTTGCCCTGTTGTTCCTTTGCGAGGCATTTGACATTTTCAACCCTCCGCTGACACAGAAGCTCATTTCGGGATTTTAGACTCTCGTGTTTCTCGCAGGTCGACCTGCTCAAGTCCACGGCTCTCCCTCTGATGAAGAAGTTTGGCATCGATGGAGAAGGCTTTGATCTCAAGGTGAGGACCGCTCGGTCACCTGTTGATGGTGTAGAGTTTTTTGCATGTTTGCGGGGGATGCGTTCAGATATAGGCAGCGTGTCTTTCTCTGTCTCAGTCTCTGTGTTGCTGCTCCCTCAGGTGGTGAAGAGGGGGATGGCACCCGGCGGGGGAGGAGAGGTGGTCTTCACGTGTCCGGTCCGAAAGAGCATCAAGCCGGTCCAGCTCACGGAGGCCGGCAAGATCAAGAGGATCAGAGGAGTAGCGTATCCTTGTTGGGCTCGTGGTCTCCTTTATTCTCCTTTTACATGAAAGTAAAAGGAAAACTGAACAGCAATGAAACCGTCAGTTGCAGCTAATCTCGGTTTTCATTATTTAGTGAGGATTTTGCTCATGGAATATCAGAAAGTGGTGACAAATCTGAATCTCTCTTGCTCATATTGTCCTAACGTCCACTTTACAATAACATAAAAAAGGCAAGCAACAACTCATCCCATTGGAGAAACTTGAATGAAGTGTTTTTTGCTTAGAAACATGACTTCCTAATCAGAAGTGTTGCCTGATATTGAGCCAGTTGATGAATCAGTCACTCATCCTTTCAGTCTGTCTTCAACAGAAGAACACAGGATTGTTTTTAAAGGCAGGAGACTTTCTTGACTTTAAATGTGCTGCTAATACACTAGTGTATCTCCACAAATTACAATATCTTTAAAAATTTTAGTATTTTTTTATTTAGGAAAGTGAAAAAGTAATATGTTTTAGAAAATGTCAAAAGCCATATCTCAAACTATTAAAATATTTAGAGTATCTCTATAATCGTTAGAGTAAATAACTCTTTAAGTGGTGTAAATACCCTGTGTCTCTAGGTTTAGCTCAGTACATTCAACCACAGTTATGGTAAAGTAAACTTGAGTAAACTCTCACTGTTCTGTGGGTTATTCCTTGACGCTACAAACGCAGATATTCTGTCCGAGTTTCTCCTCAGATGGCCAACAGGATTGTGGACTCAGCCAGGAGCGTCCTCAACCAGTTCCTCCCAGACATCTATATCTACACCGACCACATGAAAGGAGCAAACTCTGGCAAGTGGGTACCTCAGCGCACGGTACTTCGCCGTAAAGCCATTTTGTTTCTGTCTGTCTCATTAAAGAAGACGGTAAATGATTCCATCTGGTTTGCCGCAGGTCTCCAGGTTTTGGTCTGACGCTGGTGGCAGAGACGCTGAACGGCTGCTTCCTCAGTGCAGAGATGTCGTCCACGCCGCAGGGGCAGGGAGACCCCGTGCTGCCGGAGGACCTCGGTAGAAATTGTGCCAAGCTGCTTTTGGAGGAAGTTTATCGGGTAAGCACTTGAGATAACGAACGCCTTCTGCACACTCAGCCGCGTTAGTGATGTGTTTGTTTTTAAGGTGGCCCTCAAAGCAAAGATGCATTACACCAGGTGTCTCAGCCTGGGATCAGATTTATTTTGGCCTTGAATATGAATTTTTTGATGCTTATTTAGCTTCCCTTGGGTTTACCTTGGCTCTAGAACTGGCTCTGGATAGCAGGTCGTACGAGTTTTTAGTATAAACACTGTCGTCCCCTGGGCTTTTTTCATGCCTCAGTGGCTCTAGCGCCGCAAGAGGAAACTCTTTCATCACCCAACTGATGTACAAAGCAACTGCCGTCCTGTTAAATTTGCATAATTCAAGCAGGCAAGGTGGTTTTCTGCTTGTTCTTATCTCTTACACGTCTGATAAGAGTTTAAAGAATACAATCCAGCTTGAGTCTCGTTTTTGCATAATGGGGAAAAATGAATGAAATCGCAAAGTCTTGACTTGTGTGTCTCCTGCTGTGTTTCAAACAACAGCAGCTCTTGCAGTGAGAGGTGCTTCTCTAGAGTAACGTAGCCCCTCGATGAGATGTGTGAGCTTTGCCGGTCAAACACATGGACAAAAGTAAGATAGTGAGTGATGTGGAAGTCAAACAATCACCTGACAGAGTAAAGTTGGTAAAAACTCCATTTAAACTAAACGTGGCAGCAAATCAAACCTACGACAAAAGCACACAGCGGAATGGGAGCAAATCGTGTGTCTCCGAGAGTCAGAAGTGTTTTTTAAATCAGGAAAGACACGGTACGCATTTACCCAGTTGAAAATCCATTAGTAAGATGCTGATGACCACCCAGGTCCAAATACTTTGAACTGCACAGTTTGCTGCATTGTCGTGATCGCTGCACAGCTGCTGCTCGTGTTTTTCTTTTATAATGGTCACGACATGTTGCTAGCGGTGCACATGTAGTCCAGTCATGCTTGTGTTAAGTTTATATAGTTGTAAGTAAATTGATTGAAACTGCAAATTGATAATAAAACTTTACTTTTACTGATGACATTTCGCACCAGCCCTGATTACAAACTCCAAACTGACTATATATATTTTGAGTCATTTGTGACCATCTAGAGCCCCTTAATACTAAAGCTTACCAAACTCATAATCCCATTTTTGCTGGTTGGCTACTTTGCTGGAAAGTCTTTAGTCACTGGAAGTCATTGCGGGTCTTAATTGACCCGACGCTGGAGAATCAGTTTGCTGTCTGTCGCTGGAAAAAGCTGGATTCTTGGGGAATACCTGACATACATGAGCCAGACATATGAGAAGCCAATCGCGCAACAATGACATTCGCTGCTCTTGTTTACCCGCATTCCCCGGTAATGGCCTCTGTCTGCAGTTCAGCTGGGCAGAACCACCATGTAGAGCACAGCTAAAGGGTATTTCTGTATAGATTCAGACAGTTTGATGAGAGAATTTCCCCGGGATAGACGCCACAGTTTGTTTGATAAAGCCATCATGTAAGTACTGTTCGCATGTGGAGGAAGTTTCTTGTCTTGTTAGTTTGTGCCAGGCCTGTGTGATACGGGGGCATTAAAGCTTGGAGTGGTCAATATAATGATTTTTATACTTGGACTTTGGAAATAAGAAAATGCTTTCTGTTCACTGTGAAGAGCCAAAGTTGTTCTCCACATTGTGATATGATTTGTAGGTCAAACATTTAAAAAAAAGTAAGTAATAACTCGCTGATATTCATACTTTTATGGCGTTTTATCACATGTAGTCCATATTCTGTGTAGGTCAGTGTATGGAGCCTTAAAGTGTTGAGTACAATAAAACAAATACCAGCGTCCAAAAATTATGTTAAATAAAGAAAAACTGAATTTTCACAATAGAATCTGGCATGAACAGTGAACTCTCATAAAAACAAAGTTCTAATAGTATATTACAGTAGATATGTCATAGTTAATAAATAAGAATATTGAAATAATATTTTAGATTAAGTTAATAGGATTACAAGAATTTCCTAACTTAGTTTGTATCTGTCATTTACACAGTTTATTCAGATGTTTATTTCATTATGACTTTATTTAATAAATGAAGCTATTATGTGGGACACCTCCTTACAATCCAGGTCAAACATCTGAGTACCTACTCTTATAAACTTTATCTGTTTCATTCTGTTTCGCTTAATAAGTCAGTAATTCTGGAATATTTTTGATGTTTGTGCCCACAGGCAAAAAAAAACCAAAACAAAAACCCTCCAAGTCACATTTTTGTCTCCATATCTTTAAATTCATACAACATCTGTGCACACAGACACAGATCAGCTCATGCAGTCCCGCAGGAGAAAGAACCGCCTCAACACCATGTGTACAATGAGATTCTGTGACTCGAGTTTGCGCCCACATGGCTCAGCCCCTCAGCCGTCTCTTATAGGAGCCATGTGAGTCCAGTTAGCTGGTCAGGGTAGTGCTGATTAACTCTGAAAGAGGAATATTGTTGGACGCATCCTCTTCACCCCCAAGCAGCAGCAGCAGCAGCAGCAGAGCCAACGGTTTTCTTCAGGGAGGGTGGTGGGTTAAGAAATCCTGTAAAAATGGTTTTGTCCCTGTTTTTAAAAACGATAAAGCTACTGGAAGGAGCAGGTAGATCCACCAGCATTTGAATAACAGCTGGTTTTAATACCTAACTGCAGCAGGAGGCGAGAAGACAAAGGATAACCCCACCAGGACGATGGACGTGTGACTCTTGGAATGGTTAATTTTTTTTAATCTGAAAAAAAAAGCTGTTTTTTTTGTTTGTTTTTTTTTTCCCCCCTCGATTCACATTTAAGGGCAGGGGTGCTCTGCATGTGTCAGTCTGTTTGTCTTCTGGTTAATCAGTACAGTGTGCTAGTAGTAAACCAAAGCTCCTCCATGGACTTGTTGTTTTTGGAAGCAACATCAACACAGGGCAGGAGCTGATGTAAGTGGCGCACGGTTTCCTTTTTGGCTTTTTAATGTGGAATTACCTTGAATTTTTAACTATCTATTTTTTTGTCACTGTATGAATACGTGGTAATGGCTGCTAAACAGGTGTGAAAGAATCTGAGGAAAGGGTCCAGTCATTTTTATTTAGCGTTAACAGACCAGGTTACTGTTCTCCAGCAGAATGACGTTAACCTGCTGCATTGTTCACTGCTGACTAACTAAAGTACAACATGTTTCTGTAGCACCTCGTTGGCATGAGCTCAACTTTGTGTCAGACAGTTATACAGGTTTACATCAACCAATTGTGTATTTTATTGCAGCATAGAACTTGCTTCAGTGTGTCTCTGCTGTGTTGTTTTTGTATATTTGAATGTTGGGAAAGGATTTCCTTTCGCTCGAAGGATTCAAGGGACTTTTCCGCGAGGCCTTGTGGTCGGCTTGTGGCCACTTGGGACATCTCAACCGTCTCTGGGTGAAACTGGTGGTTTGGAAATGGGAGTTGTTCAAGTTGTCGGTTTGTACTACAATGAAGTACAAGAGCAGGAAAAATGGAGGTAGTTGTAGCTCGACGGCTGTGGTTTGGTGTTGATAAAAATGTCACTACTATATTTTTACTGGAGGCAAAGAAGTGAGATTTATTTTGTAAAATGTCCTGAAAAAGATCACTAACTTATCCAGACAGTGCACATGCAAAACGTACTGACAGTTAAACTAGATGGTATGATAAAATAATTAATCCATTATAGTAAAATGATGGAGTTAAGGTGGAGCGTGGTTCTCCATGAGGTTACGCAGTTCAAGTGGTGACGTAGTTCTTTGACTGAATTGGAAGTCTGATAAATCCCATCCCCTCGGAAAAGGAATGCAATTAGCAAAATCCATTAAACAATGAAAACAATGTCACCATGGTCTCAGTGATATGATTATGTAATTGAATCATATCCCTGCTGACGAGTTGTCACGGAGCCATCGCGCTGCATGACGGGACCACGACTCAGAATAGACGCACAATAAAACAAACCTACTGAAGCTGTCAGCGGACAGTCATTCAAAGTTCTTTTAGTTTATAAGCACTTGGGCGCGTCCGAGCTGTGTCTTGGGAAACATCAGTCTTGTGGAGTAATCGCAGTGGTATGTCCTCACTCAGAGTGTGGAGCTTCTGTCCTCGAAATATCTCAAGTAGAGGAAACGGGGAGCGTTGGCAAAAGTTAGAAAGTCAGTTGGGGCAAGAAAAGGAAGCATTTAGGTAAAGACGAAGAGAAAGATGTTGTAGGATGGATGGAGAAAGAGATTAGATTGTAAAAAAAAATTTAATTTAGTATAAAAAAAGACTTCATTGTGACCAATAGCTGCTTGTATCTGCTCGCTAAGAATTAAGTGTGTTCTGAATTTAAATGTACCTTAAAAATGAATGACTAAAAACGACGGTTGTTTTTCTGAGAGCTGTGGCTTCGGACGCATGTTTGTCTTTGGTTTGGATCGACATCAAGGGCTATCGGAGTTGGACCTGACACGGTCAATCCCAACAGTCAGGGGGTTCACGTCTCTCTAAACATCTCCACCTCTATGACGTATGTCGCTGTTGTTTTTGTTGCTAAAACACACGGGCCCCTCCTCTTTCCCTGCTTTAGGGCGGCTGCGTGGATTCGTCCAATCAGAGCCTGGCGCTGCTCCTGATGACCCTTGGCCAGCAGGATGTGTCGAAGGTTCTGCTCGGACCCCTCTCCCCGTACACGTAAGCCGTGATTATTCACCACCGCACCGCTCTGTCCTACTGAACTACACAAACAGGCCCTTTGCTTATTTATAAGTTAATGTACAGATGACAAATGCACCCGGCGCTTAGTTATCCTTCTACTAGTCGAGACAATATTCCAAAGTTCTTGTCTCACTGTGGTGCATTGAATGCTGGCAAAATAAATAAATGACTGGGAGCGATTAATACTCCCAAGGGTTTGTTGGACTTCAGCCCTGAAAGTCGCAGGAAAAGAACCGGCTTTCTGTCAAAGAGCACAAAACTGTGAAGTCATTTTCACTAGTTTACCAACTAGTTTGTAGTGTTTAGTTGCAGAAACACACTGATTGATGGAAAGCAAATAGAAAATGTCTGTTAATGCTGCAGCACTTTCTCTTGCCTTGTAGAAAATGTTTACATGCTTCTGAGCATTATCAGAGGACCGGTCCAGCTGTGTGTTCACATGGTTGTTTACATTGTCCGCTCATACGGAGGTGAACGTGTGATGCATGTCGATGTATTCACGTTCTAGCAGGTGCTTTTATAACACGCAAACAAAGCCTTTTTACATGTCAAGGGAAAAGCAGCCGAGCACGAGACGTCGCCGTGAGTGCAGAGCGATCTATGAACTGTCCATTTTCAGTTATCATGGTACCGGTGCTGTGTCCCTCTCAAGTACAGTACTATGATAACTGAAGATTGGCAGTGCCATCACAATACACCCTTCCTCTGACTCTGGTAACGCTGGAGGTCGTCAACGCTGTGTATTTGATTACATTTTTTCATAATTACGAGTGTTTTCTATCCTGGCTTTAAGAATGTAATGTCTATCTGAGGACACTGTGCTATTGTGGTGTAATACTGCTGACAGTTGGGCTTGTGTTGTGTCAAATACAAATAGAAATGACGCATCAACACGAAACCCTCTCCCTCCTCTCTCCCCAGGATCGAGTTCCTCAGACACATTAGAGATTTCTTCCAGATTATGTTCAAGATCGAGGTGCAGAAGCCGCCAGAAGACGAGAGGAAAGGAGGCGACAAAGTCCTGATGACCTGTTTAGGAGTCGGGTACAGCAACATCAACAAAACCCTGAAATAAATGTATTTTTATATAAACGTCGTGGTGTCGTCTTGTAGATCTTTTCTCACTCACATAGTTGAATACAGTATTTTTATTTAATGTGAAAGTTGTGACATTATTTATGTGCACGTTGCCAACTTGTGGGCTATTACAGTATATAAGAAGATTAACCACTTTTTTTTTTATATCAGTCACATTGAATACAAACGCTCAAACACATTCAACAGCTTCTTAAGGTTTGCTGTGAACATTACTGGAATTCCACACCACAAAGCATTTCCAGATGTTTAGTTCCAGCCATTGGTGGGGTTTAGTTGAACCAGATATTTCACTAAGATGCTACTGGAGAGGTTAATGACTCATCATTAGATGTAGTTCTTCCCATCTGCAATGGAGAAAAAGCTGCACTTGACAACACGGGAGCAGGGAGGAGTTAGTCATCTTGGCCGCATAGATGTTTGAGGGCGTCGCCATAGCTACCCGACACTTCAGACTGCAAAAACACGAGAGGAGAGAGAGAAGAGCAGGAAGTCATCACTGGGTTTGACATGCCATGTAAATCTAAACATCCTTTCACCAACATTCCCGTCCAGTGTGTCATGACTGGACACCAAACCAGCGTGTTACATTTGGTGTGCACTGACCTCTAGCTGGGAGTAGAGGGTGAACCCAAACAGCTTCTTGTACTCTGCTCGGATGTCCAACAGATCGATCTCCGAGCGACTGACGAGTATCCTGGTCAGAGTGGACTCTGTGGTCCCTGCGCCCTGGACAAAGTGCAATTTGAGGAAACAAGCAAAGCGGCAAATCAATCCTCAATGAATCAAATTAGGGTTCAAATGGTGCGCCGTCATATCCTGCAGCGACGGCTTTTTCTCTATGTTTATGTGCTTTGGAGCTTGTTGCCACATTTCAACCACGCCGCTATAAAACACGGCTTAACATTCCTTTCCACACCACTGGTGACCAATACAAAAAAAAAAAGGGACAATGTGCAACCAAACAATATGTGGATTTTGTTAGGTGGCTGTTTCTGCTGGGCTTCGGGGTTTAAAAGGCCCTCATGATACAGACTAAGTGACAGAACTCACCTTCATGCTCTTGAAAAGCCTCTCAGCGAGGTATGCTGGAGCGTTCTTCACACACTTGACTAAACAAGAAAACAAGTTAATAAGTTTTATGCTACGTGGATCTCAGATGTGCAATATTTAACTCGATGAAGATGCAACACAAAGAATGGAGGAGTTTTCAATGTAAGGCTCAGAAGCAGGAATAAAGTGATGTTTTGCTCACCGACGGCCACGAGTAGTTTCTCCAAGTCTCCAGACATCTCGCTCTCGATGCTCTCCTGCAGAGTCTTCTTGCTGATGTTCTTGTACTCAATCAGAGCTGCAAAAACAAAACAGACGAGTCAATTTGTTCATCCTGTGAAGACAGCTTTTTTATTTTTATTTTGCCATGCGAGTGGCATCATTTTATCCACACCTTCACAAGTATTAAGTGGATGATTATTGAAGCTTAAACTGATTTTAACCTTCTAACCAGTTTCTTGGCATTTATTTGCTCCCGTCACATTTGTTGTCACTGTGGACTCATTTTTCACTGCAATGTAAAGTCCTGCACCTCTATGGGAACAGCACAGCCATGACTAGAAGTAGAGAGAACTCAATAATGTCTTCCGCAGTACAGCAAAGCTGAAAGGTCATATATCAGTAACTACATTTTTTGGATTATTTTACAAAAAAATCAAACAAAAAAACAGGAATCAGCATGTACAATATTTTTCCAAATACTCATAGGTGTTACCATTTATTTTGTGTATTTATTTATTTTCTAAAAAGTTTATTCTACATACTACTATTATTTTACTGCTCTAACTTTTAATCTGTTTTCTAGTTGCTCTGTACAAGCACAGCCTGCAGTTCAGGTAAAAGGTCCTTGGATCTTTGTCTATTATTATGTGACCGTATCGCACAGAATTTTCTGTTTTGCTTTTATTTTTTATTTGTTTGTTTTTACAGAATCGGGTTACAGCAAACAGTTAATTTTTAACATCTGAGGGTTTTGGGTTTTGTTTTTTTGTTGTTGTTTTTTTTAGATAAAATGATTTTGATGAAATGTCAGATTTTAGTATTTTTCCTTATAAACTGCACTTCACACACGATTAGTTCAAGGCCATCAGAGAGCTGGAAATCTTACAGTTCTTTCTATGTTTGCAGTTTCTGACTAATAAATGGTGTCATTAAGGCGATTAAAAAAAAAATATATATATATATATATATATATATATAGAGAGAGAGATGGGGTTTTGGGTTCAAAGAGTTATTGGTCCTCAGAGGATAAATTCATAGCTTTGGNTTTTATTTTTTATTTGTTTGTTTTTACAGAATCGGGTTACAGCAAACAGTTAATTTTTAACATCTGAGGGTTTTGGGTTTTGTTTTTTTGTTGTTTTTTTTTTTTTTTTTTTAGATAAAATGATTTTGATGAAATGTCAGATTTGGGTATTTTTCCTTATAAACTGCACTTCACACATGATTAGTTCAAGGCCATCAGAGAGTTGGAAATCTTTCAATTCTTTCTGTGTTTACAGGTTCTGACTAATAAATGGTGTCATTAGGGCGATTAAAAAAAAAAAAAAACATTGATAGGGTTTTGAGTTCAAAGAGTTATTGGTCCTCAGAGGATAAATTCATAGCTTTGGCGATCCAGTGACTTTCCCTTCAGCACCATGAGGTGAACATATTTGATTTTTAGTGTCTTAAAATCTGTTGAATGGATTCCAATTAAATTTGGTACAAATATCAGTGGTGGCCAGAAGGTGGATCCTATTAAAATATGAAACTTTTAGTGCCATCATTAAATGTCTGATGGATCCAGATACTTCCCTTTATGTTTATACCTGCACAACGTCTGCTTTGTGTTTAATAATAACTAGGAAACGTTGCCATACTGAATTGTAACGGCTAAACAAAGATGGTCAACAGGACTGCTTTGCCTCAACATGTTGCCATGGCGAGCGCTGCTGACGTTAGCGTTCAGCTCAAAGCACCACTCCAGCCTCACAGAGCTGCTAACATGGCTCTGAGCTCCTAATGCTGTTTCTACATTACGGCTATTAGATTAGCTCCAACAGAAAAAACAAACATTAGCGATGCACCTACTTTGCCGAAGCTGGGAAACACTCCTGTGGCACAGGATGTCAATAAACTTGTCCTCATCAGTTCCCCACTTCTTCTCTCCTGCTTCGTACAAGGCCTGTGTGGAGGGACAATGAGATTACATAGAGGCAGCTTTGGACTGTAAATGAATAAAAACATTGTCCCGTCACTGGGAAGCTCAGAGCGAATGAATCATCCCAGGAAAAGGAGAAATGATGGTCAACTGAATGCTATACAAAAGGTGGATTTCGACGTGTTGAGCATGTGCAGTGTGAGCAGGTTCAGACTCGTGTGAATGAGGTGAGGCGTGTTAACTCAGGTGAGAGATGTCGTAAAAGTCTGTCAATGTGTGAAAAATGAGTGTAAAATGCTGCAAAGTGTCGTGATGTTTTAATGATCCACATGGTCTTCGAGGCTTCACCATGTGTCGATAAAAAACACAAGTATTTACATGAGAGCTCAATTCTGAATGAATGATTTGCATGTTAAAAGCATACCTTAGCATCTGCTTTGGCTTTGGCATTATCCACGTTGGTCGTCTCGTCTCTCTTCCCCTGTGAGGAAGAACAGAAAAACATACGCTGAGAAAAAATATAAATGCAGAGTAAAAGTTAATCATCTCATTTCTAATTTAAGAAACAGGTTAAATGTAGCTCATTGTGCACGTTATTGAACTGTTAGACTCCACACCCACGTCAGATGTGGCTTTAAAGGACAATGATCAGATACTGTGACCAGCACATAGACACTCCTTTGACTAGTGACTATAAAAGGCCTCCAGAAAATGCAGCTTTATTCAAATGACACGATGCCACAGATGACAAGAGAAAGACAAGAACGGGAGGCTGGCATGCTGGATGTTGGCAGGTCAGTTAGAGCACTTGAATGTCCACAGCTCCATAGTTTGTCGTCTAACATATCATTTCAGACAGTATGCTAGAACAAACAATCTGCTACCTGATGCTCTAAGTGGACGTGTCTGACAAAGAGATCTTGTTCCCCAAAATGTCCACCAACTTCACTAAAATGATCATTGGAATAACTGTACAGCATGTACTTGGTTGTTTTGTGACGCCCATTCTGTTGTAGAGATGCTGTGTGGTGATGGTGCAACAAATATGTATTCACGAATGTTAAAAATAATGGATTGAATTAAATAGATATCAGTTACATTTTTGTTCAGCATAGTTTGTCATACGTTTGGCACTCGTCTTGAGTCTTTTTAAAGGCATTTTTTTAACATCTGCGCACTTTAGCAGTTTAGATGAATATAATAACTTAATAACAGGGAGGACAAGCTTCCCAAAGATTTGCAGACCTTGTAGAAAACATTTAATCTTTCTCTGCAGTTCAACCTTCTCACTGATAAACTATATTTTTTTCAGTTTCATTGAGCCAAAATAAACATTTTTTACTCTGAGGGTTTTTGTTATGTGGATTACTTGGATATAAAGGAATTCAGGTGTTTGAACCCTGCATTTTTTGGAGACAGGTCAGGAATGTGCACCGCCTGCCGGCTACAATAAATCAACTGCTGTGGTTCTGGTTCTTATTTGTTGGAGAATGCCACATTTCATCTGACGTACAGTACCTCAGCCAGGATGAGCAGCGCCTTTCCGTATTCTCCAGATACCTCCGACTTCAGATCATGAATCATCGCTTTTCCAGTTTCTGCACAAAGCCCAGAATTTCACAATAATTACATCACACACGTGACATCAACAGCTGCTATATCGGTTGCGAAATTAGAAATACTTTACCTGCCAGGTACGCTTCAGACAAGGCGCGGATCTGTCTGTTGGATCTCGAGGAGAAGATTTCTGTCAGCGTGCTCTCTGTGGTCCCTGCACCCTGAATATAAGAGGTTATACACACGAGTGAATCTACTGGAAAGTGCACTAAAGTTTGAAAATCAGACACAAAACATGAAGTTCTGTTGGAGGAACAAACTGCAAATATAGTCAAATATAAATAAATCCAAAGCTAAATAAGTATGTTTAGACAAAAACTGATGTCTTTTACAATTCTTTTTTTTTGTCTCTTGAGATACCAAGCAGACAGGTTCCAGGTCTATGTGGATCTGCAGACCAGTACAGGTGTTTCTGAAGCCGGACACACGCTATCTTGAAGGTAGCTGCAGCCTCACCTTGATCGCTCTGATGACTTCCTGACAGTCATAGATGGCAGGAGGCGTCACCAAGGCGACCAGCAAGTCTTCAAAGTCTCCGTGAGTGTCGCCCTCCAGGTCATCGACCAATTTCTGAAGGAGAAACACAGATCTTACTCCATCAGCAAGAATCCCACTTTGGTCTACGTTTTTATGCGTGAAAACGACAAACAATATTTAAGAATAACTTTATTTGCACACCCTTCCTGAGGCTTTCTCGTAAGCCTTGGCGATTAGCTGGCGCTGGGCGTTACTTCTTTGGGTCAACACCTCAATCAATGTCTTTTCTGTTGTACCTGTAAAGACACCAAAGAGACTTAAACTGCATTCTTGTATGCAAATAAAAATGTCAGATGACTTCCATTTGCATCACGAATCAGTTACGTGGCATCTGTGCATATCTTGTGAAATATGATGGAAGTGCTTTGAATGTTTGTCTAATATAGTAGAGCATCATAAATAAAATACCAGTATTAGTAATAGCTTACCGAGACCCTCTATGGCCTTCCTTAGTGCAGCAACATCCTCCTCTGCTTTGAAGTTTGCCTTGTCCTTCACAGTTCCTCTTGTGTTCGACTGAGAAGCACAAAAACACACTCACAGGTTCACACATAACGCTGAGAAATCATTCACCAACACTCCAATGTGTAGACAGTATAGAGCTTTCTTTTTACTTTTTATACTTTCCTGTTTGTCAGTATATGAAACAATACTCATGCCACTATGGATCAGATCCTGCACACAACAAGGTGAGCTTACCGTGACCGTGAGTGAGGATGGGGAGTCCAAGAGCAGGTCCAAGTCATCCTACAACACACATTCATATGCTTCAATCATCACCTGAATTTTTAGACTATATATATTTTAAGCCTACAATACAAATCCTGTTGACCTACTCACCCAAACAGACATGGTTGTGGTTGTAGAGAGAAGTTTCAAACTAAAGGAGAAGAAAAAAAAAAGCACAAAATCAGCACCTCCACTGGGTAATAGTATAATCTATTAGATATTACTGCATCTTTTGCAAATTTCAATTAATCGTTTTTGCTTCCTCTCGCAGCTCTTCTTCTGACATCCACTGACAAACCCACTGCGTTATTCTGCTCAATGTCCTCAGCAGTAACGCTCCTGATTTGACAGTCAAAGCGGACACGTGTGCGCAAACAAAAGTGCACAAAATGAAGCCGTTTTAATCCCGACGACTGGCAGTAGGATAAAGGATAAAACAAAACCAAACATCGAACACAGACAGAGAATAAAGACGGTGATCAAAAGTCAGAAAACTGCATTTTCTTTTTCTTTCTTCTTACCTCAGTGAAACCAGAGGATTGATGTCGGAGGAGGAATTTCACAATATTCCAAACTCGCCACACCTTTCAGAGAAGTTGAGATAGAAACGCCCATCACTGGATGGAGGAAGCTGAATCATAGGTTTCCATAAACTCCTCCTCACTTGTGGAAAATAACAGGACGTTACTCTATCAGACGGACAAGAGGGATTCGCCTCTGTGTCATTTGATTCCTTTGCGCAACAGCCGACATCACAGCTGCGCTTCCCAAATGCGCAATTTTTATTTATTTGTTTTTAACTGTAAAATACTGGACTGATCTGTTCGTGCATTAAATGCCAGTAAAAACCAACCATATATATCCTATATATGCATATTATGAATATGCACGTGTATGTATGTGTATTTATGTGTATAAAGTGGATCAACACAATCTTATTCCCACTTAGTAAACAGTATGTTGTTATTTTTTGTTTCAATATCAATTATTATCTGCAAGCTAACTAAAGTTATTAAAGTAATACAGGCTACTACAAATACATTAAAAAAAATTAAATAATAAAATAATGTAAAAAATAAAAT